TGTTCACTCCTTTGAGGCAGAATTTTTCATCTCTATTTCTTTCAACCATCTGCTTCTGCTTTTGGACTCTCCATCTTTCTTTCCCAATTTTTTACTTTTCCTTCATTGAACAGTCGAGGACTTCTATGAACCTTTCTTGATTTGTGGGAAATAATAAAGAAAACTGGCTCGATATTCCCTATCACCATCAGAAAGTATATGTCAGTCCTTCATGCTTGTTTAGAACAATTTATCTATCTACCAACACACATATATAATAGAATCATGAACTTGAATGCCTAAAACAACATAAACTATTCAATAATTCTATTGCAGATATAAAGTTTTTAAATGATAGGGATAGTTATATTAAGTTGAAACAAACAGTTGCTAAAGGATTATTTTTAGCATGTAAAATGGCAATTTTAATAGCTTAGGTGAATTATTTTAGTTAATCTTCATAAACTACAGGAGGTGTTACTATCATCTTTATCTTTATAAAAGGAACTGAAGTTTAGAGAGATTAGGGACTGACCCAAAGATACACAACTAATAAGTAATTTTTTGTAGGGTTGGGATCTTGAAAACATCACCTTAATATAGATCTTCCTTTTGTAACTATTACACTACATTGCCATTTTTGCTTGGTTTTTATAGTACTGGTAATGGGCAGTGTGCAAAGGGATTTAATGTAGACTTTTGAACTTGCCCAATACTTGACAAGTTTTCTGTTCATTATAAAATTATATAAACATTACTAACCCTATTCCATAAATACAAAATATGATGAGAGTAGAAAGCAATAAAGCATTATAGCTTGAATTCTGGCTCTTCTGCTTACTGTTTGAATTTAATCTTTTGTTTAAAAATTATATACACAGGCTGAGTATATAGTTCAGTTGTTAAGAGTGCTTGCCTCAAATGCACAAGGCCCTGAGTTCAATCCCCAGCACTACAAAAAAGAAAACAAAATTACATACACACAAGTGCATAAATATCCCCTATTTACAAATGAGAGAATAAGCTTACAAAGGTTAATACTTAAAAATGACATAAACACATTTTGGATTAGTCTGAATTTCATGTCTCTTCATGATGTGGTCTTTTCAAGAGGGTAAATTTAAAGAAAGGACTGTCTTAAACCACATCTTAGTGCTAAGAATAGGATATTAAATTCTGAGTACTTTTTATATTGATAGACTTATCAATTGACAGCAGATACTACTGAGAATAAATATTGTAATCAATGATAATTGGCTTACTTTTCAGTATGTGGACGAAGAGGACCTGATGAATGCCATCAAGGGCTTCAGCTCGGTGACCAAGGAACACACCACATTCACTGACACCCATTTATGAAGAATGGAAACATGCACAACACGGTCTGGACCTAGGACTGCAGAGGCCCTGTGTGTCCTTACTGCTGGTTTATTACAAATGAACATAAGAACATAATTTAAGTGCTGAGAAGCCACTATTTGTTATTTGGGAGGTTTTTTTGAAATTGTTCTCTAATAGTTAAGAAATGTTGCTTTCCTGGGGTCTCAAAGTAGGAAAAGTGTCTCTATGAAAATATTTCTTTTGATGACTTATTTTGTGTAAGATAAAGCATGTAATTTTCAGTAAGCTCTGGCAGTGGTGCATTGGTTAAATGAATAACTGGTGGCAATTTTCATATGGCCCAGAGCTGTTACAAATGAATTGTAGAAGTTGCTTGTTTAAAAAGATTCTGTTGAGAGGATGTTGCTGCTGTTCCTTCAATCAGCTAATTCCGTTAGGATTGGTATAATCTTGTAAGGAAATGATATCCCAATTTCAGGCCATGCTGAATCTCACAAGGAAACTTTGTACTGTTGATACTCACTTAGCTAACGATTCTAGTTAACAGCAGCATAAACTTACTCTCAAACATCTGCTCTGGCATTTACGAATCTGGAGAATCAAAGTAAACAATTTATATATTCCATTTGAACCACTGTTTTTATTTAACATATTTTACATAGTTTTGAAACTCCGAAGTACTGATTCATGGAATTCTGTCAATTCACTGAACACCACAGGACTCTAACATCCTCAACTTTTAGCTCATTTCAAATAGAAACTACTGTTCTACCTTAGTTTGACCTATATAAAAAATTAAAAAGTGAAACTTTATATTTGCTACTCACAATTTTGAAATTGTTAAACATATTTATGTGATTACAAAACTATGTGTTTGTATAAATATATATCAGATACTCTCTGAACTATATACCTTCCTTCCAGAGAACTTTCAGTCTAGAGTCAGTAAGAACAGATAACATGCAATAGTACTAATTTCTATGGTTAAAATTTTTTGAAACCTGCTCAATTTGGACTGGTGAAAAAGTCCTATAAGCAAGTCATTGGTGAAAGTACTATAATCAAGGAAAAACAATTTTTGTCATCAAAATAATATTGAAGATATTTAAATTTGTTCTGCCTGAAAAACAACGTAAGAAAACCTCTTTTTCTTCCTTTTAATGCTTCCAGGAAATTATTTTCAATCTGTTACACAACAGTCTGACAATACTTTGTAAATCTATGTCCAGAGGCAGTTTGATTTTTGCAAAGTTGAGCTGGCAAAAACTTCTGCAGGGATAACCTTACTTGTTCTGCCTAAAAACTATGAATTACCCCTCTGGTCCAAGAGTCAAAGACTGTGGACTTTTGTAGGTACTGAGACTATCCAAAATTGTGGGAGAGCAGCTCCTGAGAATGAGAAACTCCTAGACATAGCTTGCCAACTGTGTCAAAGCACACATCAGTATTAAACAGAAGTTCTCTGCCCCTTTATTACATCTTCTATACACAAATCTGAAATGATTGTGCATAGTTGGCAGTAGAATTATATATATATTTTTCCTCGCCAAAAGTTTTATACATAGGTTTGGCTAGTTTACGGATTTTTATTTCCATTTGCTGATTTTGGGTCCATATGTTGTTTAAAGCTAACACAAATGACCATTCACCAAGGCTGAATGTTGACCACATAGAAGCTACCTGTCACAAATTTGTATTCTTAGTCTACAGTTCTTCAAATGGGATTTTCAAGTCACAGGTGAACTCATAAGAGTTCATTCTTGTTTTTGAAATTTAATAGACTTTAAAGGCATAGTTCTAAAGTTGAAGAGAACACAAAACAAAACAGGAAGATTTATCTTAAATCATTCTTCACTTAATCATCTAATCACACTTTGTTATTACCCAAATTCAGTTAACTGAATTATTTACATTTGACCACCTAGGTCAGGATAAACAGCGGTTGTACAGCTTCCACCCAGAGTACTACCCTCAGCATACTCATAACTTAAATTTATTTCAGAGATTTTACATTTAATTGGTATTGAATGCCAAGCCTGATATACAAAGTTATGCAGACCTGAACCCTCAGAGATTCTGATTAAATTGGTCTGGGATGGGGTTAAGGTATCTGCACTTTTTAAAACTTCCTAATGTTTAGAACCAATGAAATAACCTGGAAGAAATCATGAAGAGCAATAAGTGGACTTGATGTTCCCTGGCCTACTGCTTTTCCCTTACAATAATCAATTCTCCATGAATTGCTATTCTAAATCAGATTCATGTCTTATCACTTGTACAGGCCACATTCTCAGCTTAATTTAAAAACTACCATGTTTTGTTATTCCTAATACTGTTTGATATGAGTTCATAGTTATGTTTTTGTAAGCTCTACGAAGAATTGTGTTTACAGATGATCTATTGTAATTTCCATTAAATGGAGAACCTAAACACGAATCTGTTATAGTACCTTATACTGATGTAAAACTCATGCTGGCATCCATATAAAAACAATTCATCTGGAAAAACCTGTAAAAATAAACAGTCCAGGCGAAACAATTCTGTAATAAGGAACTCAATTATGTTATATGAATAGTAGTTGATTTCCAAAGCACAAATATCATGTAAATTAATCTCAATATGGTTTGCTTAATAAATATTTAAATGTGAACCAAGTTTGATTTTATAAACTTATGAGAAAGCAATCTAAAAATCCTGAGTTACACATAAGAAATGATGATAAAAAGATGTACTCATTTAAGGAAATAGGATGCTATTGGTATAGTCTCAACTGAGGTACATTGGAATAAACTATGGTACTGTTTTCAAAATGTGAATCCCACCCACCAGATATTCACGTTCAAAAAACTGGAGGAAGGCTTGGGCAACCTTAAGTGTCCATCCTCAGGTAATTATGATAAAAAAGCCTGGATGAGAAAAACAGGAACAAAACCATTGGCTTTTCAAATGGGAAGATATGGATTCAAAGGTGGTTCAATAGCTGAGTTATTTTATCTTTTGTGAGTCTCAGTGACCTGTGAAATGAGAATACTTATCAACTGGTATAATTCACTACTTGGAAATAAGTACAAAATTAATTGAAAAACTTTTAATCATGAGAATTCTAATTCTGTTCTCACTATTCATCAATCATACAAAGTACAGATGCATTTTAATTTTTATTCTACTTACAACAACCTTAATGATATTGGTATAATGAAAAATTTAGGCAAGTGGGAATACTTTGCTTAAGGTTACAAGGTGCCAGAGTAGACTCAATTCTCTGCTAAGGTTCAATCTAAGGTTCAGTCTCCTGTAAGTATATGAGAAAAAATAAAATGGACCTATAATAAAATGCAACCCATGGTACAGTCAGCTAACTTTTATAATATTTTGCTATATAATAGCCCTCATTACTTTTTAAAGTTTTCTTTTAGTGGTAAATATTCCAATTTTTCCGCCTTAATTTCCTTAGTTGTCCATCCAGCTTCCACACAAATGTGATTATAATGAAAATGGCATAAGATGAATCCTTAGTGACTTTGAAATTATGCTTTGCCTAACCTTTTTCCTTACTGGTAATATAACTTAGTTTTTCTATATATTCTCCCTCTCCAGTTTCTTTTTATAGGAAGAAGCCAAAAAAAAAAAAAAAAAAAAAAAAAAGAAAAAAGAAAAATGATGTAGGTTCACTTCAAACAGAATAACAACTAAAATCATTGTGTCTAAATTTTTTTATTTGATTCAATTGATAAATAAATACAAGAGAATTTTTGTGAAACCACTGGTAATATAGTAAACTTTAAAGAATTTATTTCAATTTTACTCATTATATTTCTTGGAATGGGAATATATACATTCTTCAGCAATAAATGCTTAATGGTTTAAATTTGCACTTATCCCATTTGCAGAAACTTGAAAATCATTCCAATTAAATGAAAAAACAAAATTTTTTTCTCTAACAATTGAAATTATATCCAAAATAACACATTTACAATAGCCAAAACTTTCAGCCAAAAACCCAAATCTACAATCTCATTTAACAAAATGGCCTACATTTAAGTTATTTTGATTATTAATACTTTAAAAAAAATAAAAGGAAAGGTGGCTCTTAAAACAAGGCAGATTAGCAACTGAGTTTTCCCTTCTGGGCCCTCAAAGCTTTGCCTTTGATTATTATTTTTATTTCATCTTTTCTGAAATAGACAATTGCTCCAACTTGAAAGAAAGTTCACATGGACTTTTTGCACCATTTTCAGGAACAGCTCTTTCTACGTGGTGATGCATGCTAAGAACTTCCAACAATGAGAATCAGAAAGTGACCCACGATTAAAAAAAAAAAAAATCCTAAAAGTCTTACTACACAGTGGAATCTGGTATTCAAAATAATAGTGTTTTTTAATTACATGATATTTTTTCACAAACGTAGCACCTCATCAAATATCTGGTAAACACACTGAAATCACAATAAGGGTTGGGAGACCAACTTTCAAAAAGAATTGTTATTCACTTAAGATAACATTGCAAGACAAGTCTCAGGCACAATAAAGATTAGGAATGCAGTCTGTTGGTTCCCATGCTCCAGGGAATACTCCTCTGTATGGACACCATCCTATTAAGATGTGGTACTATGATAACAAAACCAACAAAGAGTAGCTAAACATTAAAATGGATACTGCTTTGCAAATAATCTGTTAAATGTGTTTGTAAAACTAAAAAACCTTCCAAAACATTAAGAGATATGATTATTTTATCTCCTTATTCCAGGTAATTCTGTTAAAAAGATAATAAATGACACCCAATTTATCTTATAAAGCCTCATTGTAAAAACTAATGTACTGAAATCCAGGAAAATTTAATTTTCATCTTAATTTAACAAAACTACCATTCATTTTAGTGAGTTTTCACAAACTGTACTCTTGACCTGAAGAATCACTTTTTTTATGCCTCGGAGACGGGGTGGTCTTTGTAGGGGACGGGGATGCAGTACCAGGCGAGTCGGTTCCTCCATCAGAAGTACTTGGTGATGATGCCAGATAGGGAACTTTCTTTCTTCCAAGGAATCCTCCCCCTTCAAATCCTCCTTTCTTCCTTAACTCTACTTTATTTTCATTTTCATCTTCTGATGACCTCTTCTTGGATTCAGAAAAAACTTCAGCTGTTTTATGTACCTCTAATCCACTATCCAATTCTTTCAAACTTCTGATTTCTGCTCCAGGAGACTTTCTCTCAGATATATTACATTCCCCTGTTGCCCCCTTCACTTCAGCTTGTATTGGACCCAAATTACCATTTTCAGGAACAGCTCTTTCTACATTTTTGTTCAAATTAATAGTCTGGAAGTCTCTATAACTATGAAAGCTCTCAGTCCTTCTTGCCCTTGCTAACAAAGGACTTTCTCTGTAAGGCCTCATGGAACCATAAGTAGCTGCTTCATGAATGGTTTCATGGTGCTGAAGCTGAAGGCTGAAAAAGGTTTTAAAAATTATAGTTCAGATTTCATTCACCTGCAATTTCTCAGGAGCATATCTCATTAATTAAACTACCAGTAAAAACATATATATAGTAATATTATACCCACATTTCTCCCTATAAACCTGTATTTATCAAAAGGGTGTGGTGGGTCATGCCTGTAATCCCAGCAACTGAAGAGGCTGAGGCAGGAGGATCACAAGTTCAAGGCTAGCCTGGGCAACTTAGATCCCATCTCAAAATAAAATAAAAAAGGGCTGGGGATGTAGCCCAGTGGTAGAGTGCCCCTGGGTTCAATCCTTGGTATCAAGGATTGAAATTTTTTTTTATTAAGCAGTCATATATAAATGTAAAATTACCAGCACAAATAATACCATAGATATATAGTTAAGCTAGACTTTTAAATATCTGGAGAAAAAAATAAAAATTTCAAAACCACCAAGGAATCAATATAATTCAGTTCTTCATATTTAAAAACATTTTGTTAATATGGGAAGAAAAAACAGGGCATACTATATCACTGTATTGAAATACATAGTGCCTAAAATATAAGATTATACAAGGTAATATAATCACTTTTGATTAATATTGTCCTGAAACAAGAATAAAAACTTATTTAAGCAAGGTGACATAGGATTTTCCTATTTTCTTTGAGTGAAATCTTAATCACACAATGGGCATTCCAATTGGCAGCAATTCACAAAGTAAATTAAAAGGCAAAAAGTGGTGACTGGGGTTAGGATGCAGAGGTAGAATGCATGCTTAGTACTAAGCATGAAGCCCTGGGTTCAATCCTCAGCCATAAAACAAACAAAACCCCCAAAACCAAAAGGAAAAAGAAAGAAAAAACTGGTTTCCTATGAAAAGAACCAGACAATGCCCAATGTATATAGATAAAGAAATTTGCTAAAATAGAAAAAAAGAATATTAACAAAGTCTGCACTGCTTTAAAAATATGGCTTTTAGAACAACTATGTGATTATGTCAGTTAATTTTCCCCCAAACAATCATACCCAGCTCTTCAACTTACCTAGAATTTGATTCTCGAAGGCGGCTATGCTGAACCACAGAAGTTGCTGGACTAATATTAGGTGTAGCACAGCGAGATGTGCTGAGATCACATTGATCTAGTAATTTGAGTAGTTCTTCTTCAGTTGGACCACCTACATCTTAGGAAAGCAAACAATCATTATAATCTCTGATGTTAAAAGCTTGCCCGGTGACAAACTTCTTTCCATGTGGGAACCTACCCTTATCTTCACTTTTATTAACCATATCCATAGCAGTGGTCAGATCCCACATTTGAATGCTGCCATTTGTATGGCCTGTGAACAAGTAGCGCCTTGGCCTTGAGCCCATCCTACTGGATCCCTCACATTCTCTCACTGTAAATGAGGATATTGTAGTACAGTCAACAGCTTGGATCTCACATATTCTGCAAAAGACATTGTACAGTTAAAACTGGGGGAAGAAATAGCATCTTAATAGTTAACATGTTCTGTTCTTATTTGCAAAGATACAGTTGAGTACACAGAGGTCAAAGAAAGTCAACATGAAGAAAATTCAAGTTTTGTTTCTTTGACACTAGAGAAAACAATGTATAAACTAACAGAAAAAAAGCAATACCTTAGGTTAAAAAAAACAGAGCTTTGATGAGAATGAACAATTCTTTAAAAAGAAGCTGTGAAAAAAGAAAGAAAGTATGATAGAAAAGATCTTTTTCAAGACATTAAAATTTATATGCAAATTTTAAAAATCTGAAACCAGGAAAACTACACCTCTCTATAGAGACAGAGATAGCCAATGTTGTATTCTCCATTAAGACACTCCTTATCAAAGCAGTTTTATAGCCATTTATTGATTTTCAAAAAGGATAAAAGAGCCTGAAATGGAACAATTATTATCCACCCTGACAAATGAGGAAACCAAAGGCTAATGTGAGCAAAGGATTTTTCCCAAAGCCATAAGGGTTAGATGAATTGTAATTCAGTGAATTATTTATCTCAGTTTACTTCATAACAGTGTTTGAGGCACTTATTTAAAAAAAGAAAAAAGAAAGAAAGAAACAATAAGTACCAAGCAAATGTAAGGTGAAAATTAAGGAGGAAGAGGAAATACCATCCAAATAAATATGAGAAACATAGTAGGAACAGAACGTGAAGCTTAGGTCAACTTCCTAGTAGGCAAGGCAAAAGGGGGCGGGGTGCGGTGTGGGGAGGGATGCAAATTCCTACATGCCCATATACAAGGTGAAACAGGCTATTCTAGTCTCACTCCTGATCTCAAGGAAAATGCTTTTTTCACCAGTGAGTCTGAGGTTTGAAACAATTATTTCCTAGACATTAGCAGATTAAGGAATTTCCCTCTTTTGGTTTAATTAACAGAATGGTTTTTATTTATTTATTTTTAGTTGTTAGATGGACACAATACCTTTATTTATTTTTTTTTAAGTGGTGCTGATCGAACCCAGTGCTTCACGCGTAAGTCTTGTGCTCTACCACTGAGCTACAACCCCAGTAGAATTTTTAAAAATCATAAATGTGGGCTGGGGATGTGGCTCAAGCGGTAGCGCGCTCGCCTGGCATGCATGCGGTCTGGGTTCAATCCTCAGCACCACATACAAACAAAGATGTTTTGTCCACTGAAAACTAAAAAATAAATATTAAAAAAAAATTCTCTCTCTCTCTCTTTAAAAAAAATCATAAATGAGTGTGTAATTGTCAAATGTTTTTTCTATTTATCAAGATAACTTTTCTTAATACTGTTAACAAGGTGAATAACATGTATTTTTTAATAATATTTGTAAATTGATTTTTCTTAAAGCTAGATTTTTGTCTTATGTTTAAAATAAACACATCAACATTTATATATGCATGAAAATACAAATGATTTTGCTTTTTTTTGTATAGGATAGACTCCTTAGGATATGTCTTCAAATTTTTCTACAAGTATTTCCTTTCATTTTACTTTTCCCTGTTTATAATCCCAATTCTCTTTAAATAGCACACTTTGGTTTACAAAAGCTTCATAAAGGGCTGGTCTTCTATTTGATTCTACAAAATAACTTCTGCTTGTTATTTTAATAACTATAGGACTTCCTTTGGAATGATACACTTAAAAATAAATAAAATTTGTTTTATCATGCAAAAATTGCAGTTGATTACATAATGTCTGAAATAACAGAGAGGGTGATGTGAAAAATTAATATAGAGATATACTACATTATCAGAGCATAATAGTTTAAATAAACATTTGGCAGCTTCTTCAATAAATATGCACTGAACACTAAATCACAATGATTTATAACATGCTGAAAAAAGGCAACCAAGAAATTTTAAAAACATCAATAGCATAAGTAACATTAAAAAGAAAACTAATAATGTGCTTAATGACTCTTGAAGAGGAATTTTAGTTTCTTCACTTGTTTAACATGCAAAAAATAGTTTTTAAAGAAATGCCAATCTGAGGTTACAAATAATATTTTAAAGGAAATAAAATTTCAGTCAATGCAAAAGGAAGAGAAAAACTTCTATTGAACAACTATTATAGTAAGGGATTATGCAAGATATTTCACATTTTTTGACTCATTTTACCTTGTCACATTACACCATCAAAATAGTTGAACCTTATTTTGTAAAGAAACCAAGGCTAAGAAAAACAAAGTAACTTAAGCTTATAGCCAATGAAAGGAGTGCCAAAATTAGAATTTTATTCATCTGTCTGTATCAAATTCTCTGTTCTTCACTTAATGTTTGAATAGAAATCATTTCTGAAGATGAAATCAGAAGAATACTGCCAGTATCATATAATGATAACAGCAGCATTCTCATTGTGCAAGTCAGGAGGTAAATACATAAAGGCAGCATTCTTGTTCTCATGGAGACAATTTCTTTCTATATTCACGTAGACAGAAGGCGGTAAATGCTATAAAATACGAAATGAAATGGGTGCTAAATGGTAAGCTGTGCCAAGATTATGCAAATTATAATTATTATTGATCAAGGTTTAACTGCTTTATCATTTTTATTCTACAAGGGAACACTATCAGAAAACCTGTAATATATTTTATGATATAATGTATACAATTTGTGATGAGATGGGAAATATTTACATTCTAGAGTGTTTGCTTTCTTAAGAAAAAATTGAATATTTTTAAGAAAAAATAGTTATGTTTGGACATGAAAGAAGTTTACTATGTCCCTTTTTTTTATTGTATCACTAGCTCTTCCTACCTGTCCACAGCATCTGTAAAAATCTTAATGAATCTTAGAGAGTAAGTGCTAAGTAAATTGTTTTAATGTTAATTTATAATAATAATAATGAGATAATGAATAGATGTCTCTCAATTTTTCTATTGCACTCTTTCATCAATATATATTATGCCATGCACTCTGTAAGATAGCATTTCTTCATCTTTAGAGTAAAGTATTACCTTTTCCCAGTAGATGAAAGTCTCACAAATAGTTTGTTAGTGATGGGAACAACTTTCTGGATAAACACCTGTTGATCATCTCGTTCTCCAAAAGGCCCTTGGTCATACAACAGAAAATGTCAAAAGAAGTTAATTAGAATGTAATTTAATTTTACAATAGGAACATTAATATTAATACCCCTCTACCAAAAAGAATTTCTCACATTACTAGTTTAGCATTGAGTTTCAAGTCAAAATCAGACACAAAAATTCAACAATTCAACTTGCATTAACATTTTTAGAATACACAATAATTCAAAATTATATTTTATGTACTAACACTATAAAAGCTGAAGGCAATAGTCTGAATAAAGAGCCACATTAAACAGCATTAGAAGGAGAGCTGTTAAAATATTTACTATCTTTGGGGATGTACTTAGATTCTTTTAACTTAAAAAGGGGATATGGAGGTATAGATCAGAGGTAGAATGAATACACCCTCAGCATGTACAAGGTCCTGGATTTGATCCCTAGCACTAAAGCAACAACAGCCCCCACTCTACCCCCCAAAAGGGGAGAGAATGTACAAAGTCAGTCACTTCATGTATTCATTTTACTTTTCTGAAAAGCCAACATGCAAAAATCAAAAATATAATTCTGTTTAACGCCACTAAACAGAAACAACTTCACAGAGTAATTGGTAAACTAAAACAGACATCAGCAGCAAAGTGTAATATGAAATCTACTTCAGGTTGAGTATCCCATATACAAAATGCTTGGAACTAGAAGTGTTTCAAATTTTGGATTTTTTCAGATTTTGGAAATTTGCATATACACAACAATGAGCTATTTTGGGGATGGAACCCAAGTCTAAATATGAAATTTGTGTTCCACATACACCTTATACATTGACTAAAGGAAATACTATATAATATTTCTAATAATTCTGTACATGAAATAAAGTTTCATGGTATAGGATTTTCTACTTTTCATGTTGGGGCTCAAAAAGTTTTGGATACTGAAGCATTTGGGATTTAGATTTTTGGAATAGGTACACACAATCTAACAAAGACAGATTCAATTATTTTCACTTTATTGTACTGAGCAAGGCAGGTACATACCTATTATATTTTAGAAAAATTCTGAACAACAACATAAGAAAAACTGTTAATATGCAAAACTTAAAGACACAATTTTAATAAATGTCTTCCTATTATACTCATTAGCTAAAGTACCAATTTATTTTCATATGAAGCATAAGATAAACAACAAAAATTTTAAAGACAATAATCCAAATTATCTCATATGAATCATGCCTATTTAATAAATGAAATATCTTTATGAGTAGTACTTTATTTTGCTTACTATGTGCCATAGTGTAAGTGCTTTATTCATCAAGTACTAATTCACCCTAATAATCATAATAACCATGTAAAGAAGGTCATATTATTATCACCATTTTACAGATGAGTAAAGTAAAGCACCAAGAGACTAGCTCACCAGAGGTCTCATAGGTCCTCTGGGATAGAGCGTGTTATGATTTGGATGTGAGTTGTCCCCCCAAAAGCTCACGTGTGAGACAATGCACAACAGTTCAGAGGAAAAAATGATTGGATTCTAAGAATCTTTGATTTAATCTTTGATTTAATCCTCTGATAGGGATTAATTGAGTGGTAACTAAAGTGGTAGGGTGTGGCTGAAGGAGGTGGAATTGGGGCATGGCTTTGAGTATGTATTTGTATCTGGCAAGTAAAGTCTCTCTCTCCCCTTCCTGATCACCCTGATGTGAGCTGCTTCCCTCTGCCACACTCTTTCTGCCATGGTGTTTAGCCTCACTACAAGCCCCAAGGAATGGAGCTGGCCTTCTCTGGACTAAGACCTCTGAAACCATGAGCCCTCAAGTAAACCTTTCCTCCTCTACAGTTGTTCTGGTCAGATCCTTTTAGTCACAAAATCAAAAAAGCTCACTAAAACACAGCTTGAACTCCGAGGAGCCCAAGCTATATGGTTCCAGGCTGCTGGCTCTTCACTAAACTATGCAGTTGCTGAATTATTGGAGAACCTTCTGATGTCTAAGTCTATTAGGAATGATAGTCCTCATTCAATAACTGTTAACAAAGTCAAAATAGTAAAATAGTAATGATGAATAAAATACGTAGGACTGAGAAGATTATGGAACTGTATCTTCACTCCCCTTAAACTTTATATTCACATTAAATGCTCCCATAACCTAACTGTTCATACCTTAATCATCTGATGACCTCAACCAATATATAGATTCTCCAAACTCTCCCAAATTGGCACCTTCCTTGGAACACAAAATAAGCTCATATCTTTTCTATTTTTGGTGGGGAGACAGGAAGAGGAATCAAAACTGAGCTCTGAACTCCCTACTTGCCTTTTAACTTTTTAATTTCATGGTCAACTCCAATATCTACTAATCCACTACACACTTCAATCTAGATTTCACCCACAGCATTCTCAACTGTGTTCCACTGTTCTGTTTGTCCATCCCTTACATTATTTATTTATTAATTTTAAGTATAAGAGGAAATAAAACTCTCTCTGCCCCCTTTATTTTAGTGGGCTTTAAAGTTAATTCACAGAATTGTTTGTTATTTTTATATTCACATTACACTTGTTTTCCCTGAACAATCCCTACCAGAGCTTTCACTGCTTATTATTATTTCGTACTGAGGATTGAACCCAGGGGTGTTTAACCATTGAGCCTTAACCCCAGCCATTCTTTTTTTATTTAGAAACAGGGTCTCACTGAGTTGCTAAGTGCCTTGCTAAGTTGCTGAGGCTCACTTTGAACTCTCAATCCTCCTGCTTCAGCCTCCCAAGCCACAGGGATTACAAGCATACACCACCAATTCCAGCTTCACTAATTCTTAAATGCTGATGACTCATAAACATAATTTCCAGTAAGGTCTCGTACCCTCATCCCTTCATATCATGGAATATCCACAGACACCACTGCTCAAAATATATCATCTAAATTCACCTTCCTTTTCAAAATAAGCCCCACTTTCTATATTTCTTTATTTCAGTTAACAGAATTCAGTTACTTCATTTCCCAAGTAAGACCCCTGAGTCAGCTTAGACTCCAACCTCTCTTGAACTTACCACATATGATCAATCACCACCATGCCCGTTAGTTTTTTTTTTAAATATAATTTTAGTTGTCAATGAACTTTTATTTATTTATATGTTGTGCTGAGAATCAAACCTAGTGCCTCATACATGCTAGGCAAGTGCTCTACCACTGAGCCATAACCCCAGCCTGCCCTTCAGTTCTTACTGAATGAGTTCTTTTTTTGATAACTAATAATGGGTGCCTTGCGTCACAGTTCTCTAAGCCTTCTTGGACATGCACATGAAAAATGAACTATAACACTAATTAGGTATCACTGTCAAAATTCTTCATAAGCTCCCCATTACTTATAAAGATAAAATCTAAATTCCTAAGTTTATTGTACAGAAAGGCCTTCCATTATGTGGCCTTTGCCTATCAACCCAGTCTTATCCCTATATTCTATAGTCCAGCACTTAATGACCTTTTTGACATTTTCCAAACTTTCCAGGTTCTCTGGGCCTGTGTTCTTTTAACATGTTCTTTTTGTTCTAGCATAAATGTTCCAACTCTAGAATCTCCAAAATCCAACAAAAACCTACTCATGCTGCATGTGTCAGTTCAAGCACTAAGACCTTGCTAAAGTGTTCTTTATGAATGTTAGTTTTCATCAATGCTAAGTAGGGATAATATCTACTTCATATTATCGTCAAGAAGATTATAAATATACTGTTGCTATCTCTGCTGAGTGCTTTTAGCTCCTTGCCCTTAAGCATAATTGCGCAAAATGCGATTGTTTTCTTTTTATTCCCACTGCAAGTACTATCAATTGATTTTCACTGTCCTGTATTTTTTTAGATTCCTAACGCCTGGAGAAAAACTACTAAATAATCACTTGTTGGATTAAAAAAATTCAAACTTCCAGTTCCCAGCAACATGTAGGGAAATAAGATCACACAGCAATTGCTAAAACTGAGGCAATGAACATTATTTTTACTAAATATACTAAGAGTGAGGTAGTACAATTGTTTTAAAGCATTTTGAAATCTTTACTATGGGAACATATTCGTAAATTTCCAGTATATGTAAAATTCATAGAAAATCAATTCTAATGTACTCCTTTTTATCGTTAATTTTCACTTACATAAAATAACTGGAAAGGTATATTAGGTAACCAATAGCTTCTAGAGAACTATTGTAGGAATAGTAAGATACAATTACACATACAGGAGATTCTTTCAAATGAGCCCTTGTGGGAAATAATCTGTCTCCATGATGACTCTGTATATGTATTTGTGTGTATGTGAGTTCTCATTCATAGTATGTATAGTATAGAGACAAATACGATTAACTTTGCATGCCTTTTACTGAAATCAGAGCATCAATGAAGACATAATACATTGTTTCCTAATGAATATTATAATGCCATCAAAATAACTGATTATTTTAAAGTATCAGCCTTTTTCTAGCTGCAAATTTTATTTTCAGATCAAATAAAAATATTAAAAGTTTTTGATGGTCATCATTGTACAAAATACATGTAGGAAGATGTGAATTTGGTGTCAACATACCTTATATACAAACAGAGATATGATAAATTGTGGTATAATGTGTATTAAGAATTGTAATGCAAAAAAAAAAAAAGAGTATGATGGCAAAATTTGGCATGAACATACGTTATATACAGAGTTATGAAAAATTGCGCTGGAAATGGATAATAATGGATATAATGCATTCCAATATTGTCATGTATGTAAGAAATAAATTTAAAAAAAATAAAAAGTTTCATGTATGTACGAAATAAATTTTAAAAATAAAAAATAAAAAAGTTTTAATATCAAGAATGGAAGCTAAAATAAAAATATTAAGTTTGAAATGTACACAGATATTATAGTTTTAGTTATAAACAAAAGTTGCTAGCATTTGAAGATGACATAAAGTGAGGAAACACTAATAAGATAAAAAATTTGCTCTTAACTTTTTTTTTAAATTTTAGTTTTAGATGGACATAATAACTTTATTAATTTTTTTTACGTGGGCTGAGGATCAAACTCAGTGCCTCACACGTGCCAGGCAAGCACTCCACTACTGAGCCCCAGCCCCAGCCCATCTTATATAACTTTTTAAACAATGAAAAAATACTTCAATATTATAAATGAATTCACAGAATCTAATGAGAAAAATGTACTAAAACTGTTTTGAGTTTCAAAATTGAAATAAAAAATTCATATTTAAAATTTATTTTTAGATTTACTATAGTTGATATATTTCTTCTGAACTATCCACATAATATTTGAAAATTCCCCCAAATAACCTAACTTACCTATGTCATTTCCAGAGGAATAGCTACCATGACTTTCTGTCTCCTCCAGAGACAATATCTTGAATGATGCTAAAGGAGTGGAACCTGGCTGAGTAGAGATCATTCCTCTGAATCGTGTTACTGTCCATGTGCGGACATGATTATTATCTGCACAGACTAGAAGAGAAAAAGAACACAAAAAGGTTACAAAGTACAGATTATAAGGGCAGTACCAAAATCACTTTTTTAAACACATTTAAGCTTTTCACTATGATATACATTAAATAGATCTTAGTACATTTTAAGTAGCAAATGACATATTTATCATAGAATTATACTCAAATTGTACCTAGCTGAAAAAGGTACAAATATAAGGTAGATCACTAAATATATGGTTTCTTATAAAAATAGACTGTAAGGTTTAAATATAGGAAAGGTTAAAGAAATGTATACATACGAGAAAAAATACTGATTATCCAAGAAAATACTGATTAGCCTATTCTTTGGTCAAACTACAGAGTTAACAGTTGCTTAGCTTATTTTTTAAAACTTAGAAACTGTTTCTGCTAATATTACTCAAATGTTAAATAGTCTAGATAAAGAGTTATATAAAAATTATTATTAAAAATGATATTTGTCAAATATAGGAACAGGAGCTATTTATTGCCTACTCATAGTTATATAAAGGAACATCAAAATTCTATATTAGAGCTCAGCATTATTTTTGAGAGTGTGCTTTAAGAAACTTGTTCCAATTAGTCTGTTTTTTGAATTTAAATACTATTCAATGGATATGTAATGAGATATTTCCTAGTCTATCTCCATTTTTTTTGTCTGAATAGGTACTCTATTAAAAATTTTACATCAAAAAATAATATCACTATTGCTTACATTTTTGGTATGCCTTTGTAAAAAAAATACTAATTTTTCATTTATAATGATTTTTGAAAATTTGTTAATGTTACAATGAGCTACAAACTCATCAGTAAACACTTATAAAATATCCCAAACTTCTTCCATATACACATACCATTTCCTACTGGTTTCTTATAAAATGACATTCCTTATGAAATATCAGTTATGTATTTTAAACCACACTTTAGAAAAATGATCTAGTTTTAGCAAACAGCAACAAGTAACTTCTGATTATTTTTTATTCTGATGCAACAAAATTCTCATTTCTCAGAGAATTTTTCTGATAAAAAAAAAAAAAGAAACATTTAGTTTCAGACTGTTTAATCAGTTACATGGGGAAAAAATTCCTGATTTTCACTATTAAGTTTACTGGGATTCAGAAAAATAAATACCTTTGGCTGACTCAACTGAGTCATAAGGACAATTTTGTTAATATTAATTAAGTAAAATTTTTTATTTCAGAAAGAAAGTGATTACATTTACACTGATATCCATCAGGTAGCAGAAAAACATAAATATGAATACATGAAGAACTCAAGATTTTTGAGTAAACTAGATAATTTTCTTGATTAGCCTATTTAAATTTCAAACCCACATGAAATTTTCATGTTAAAATACAAATTATAACAAGCAGTTCTTTAGCATCACATCCTACAATAACATTACAACCACCAAAATAACAGCAACTGCTACTATCTCTAAGCATTGTCATTTAAATATCACAACTACTGACAAAATAGTCTATATTCTCACAGAATTAAATTGCCTTATTTTATGCATCTGTTTATGCACATGTGCCAAGGACTGTGCTGAGAAAAGGTGAGAGAACAAAAGTTCCTACAGGTAGAACCTCCTTTCTTGAAGAGGGAAATAGGTGTTAAATGAACACATAAATGATCAAATGATAAGTCTTCAAAGAAAACAAACTATTAGAGAAAGTTACTGTTGATAGAGGTTTAGCTGATTTGTACTGGTGGCCAATGAACCCTCACTGAGGAGGTATTTGAAATGAGACCTGAGTAACAAGAAAGCAGCCAAAACATATCCAGAAGCAAAATATTTCAAATAAAATGAATAAAGAACAAAAATTCTAAAACATCTTTAGGAAACAGAAAGGTCTTGAGCAAGAGAAACATAGGTGGGGAATTAGGAAGCAACCTGAAAGGTAAATAGGATCTAGAATAGGAAAAGCCACACAGGCAATGGTAGAAATTTAAATTTATTTTTAAATACAATAGGAAGCCATTGGATATCAGGTCTGGATTATATTTCTAAGAGATATTTCTGCCTACTGTGTGGAATATGTACCACAGAGAGGCAAGATAAAAACATGTAAGAGTTGACAAGCTGCTACAATAACCTAAGGAAAAATGATAACAATGTGAATCACTAGACTGGTAGCAACAAAAAACCATCAGATTTGTGACACAGGATGCAGCAAAACCAATATAATTTATTGTTGGATTGCATGTACATGATGGAAAACATGAAAGAAAAAATCAAGAGCAGTTCCTATACTTTTTTAAATAAATGAATAGATAATAATATTTTAATACTTGTATGGTTTTTTGAATCAGCAGCTAATCAATCATTAAAATGTTCTGTTTTATCTAGTTTCAATTTGAGTTGCCTATTAAATGTAATCCAGTGATACAGACACTAGGTACACAAATTTCCACTCCCTGGATGACCACAAGTCAAAGAAGTATGGGGTAACTGTCAATATAGATAATAATTACTACTCAAATCACCAGATAAGATAAGTAAAACAAAAATCCTCCAGGGAAATCCAACATTTAGCAATTGGACAAAAGAGAAACCAGCTCCCCAGTGGGGCAGGTGAGTGTCAGATGAGTATTGCTTTATGAAAGCCTGAAGTAGAGACTGTTTTAGGAAGGCCTACTTACACCCCAAGCAATCAGACACGTGAGTTCATTTATTCATCCATGGACAAGATTTTGGCTCCACTTGGTGTTTGATCATACAGAGAAAAACGTATCACCTTTTAGACATTCTTAAATAAACAAACACATTGTGGGAAAATGCTCATAAAAATTTTAAGTTGGACAGGAATTGCTGTACAAAAGAGGTAAATGTTAGACTCCTCTAAAAAGCAAACTCGACTGATATACCTAACACATTATTCAAGAAGTTTTTTTAGAAATCTTGTATACAACAAATTTCTCAAGGGAATTTTACTTTGTGATCAAAAAGTAGTACTTGTTAAACAACAAAATTAGTATCCAATTTTCATATATCTAGGATCCAAATATGTGACTATATAAAATCATTTAAAAATTTTTATGGCTATAAGGAGCCACAAACCCACAAAAAATATTATTTTTTAAATAATCTTTTTATACAGTCTACTAATTCTCAATATTTTTATGATGATCAAACAGTAAAATAGACATCTAAATCTACTTTAGCATTATAACTGGTTGATAAGATAATCAACCAAATTTATATTAAAAATTAAACTTATAAAGCTTCTAAGTAAAAAAATTCAACAGGGTTATAAATATTTTCAAATAAAATATACCATAAGAACAAAATGTTAGAACAGAGAATAAATAAGAGATAAGATAGCTCCTAAATCTGTATATCCTACAACCAGGCAAAGTCAAAGAAATCTAAAAACAGTCATAACATTTCTCAGTTATTAAACTTTTCTATCATTTCTTTTACTATATTTTCCTCACATAAAACTCTGCTAATAGTCTTAGTTTGTAAGAGTATAGAAAATAACGCACAGGGCAAAAGTTCACAAGGGGGAACTGCTTATTGGTACTAACAGAATCACTTTACCAGATACAAGATGCTTCTCTGACAGCATGATTTTTGTAACAGGGCTTCGGTGAACTGTGAAAGTCTGAAAAAGCTGAGGACCCGACCCAACTGTCTCTGGGTGCTGTACAATCACTCGTACTGCTCCAGAACTTGTACCATAGGCAATCTCAATCCAGTTACCACTGACACCTACACAAAGTCAAAAGTCAACACGTGGTATATTAGGCAAAAATAAAAAGAAAGTTACCCTTGCGAAGTTCCCTGTGATATCAGATGCAGAATAGGATTCAGAGCTTATGTGCAAAATCCACTCAAAGAAATCTTAAGACATCTCTGCCATCTTAAAATCAATATTTTCTTTACAAATCTTTTCTAACACTTGCTCCAAGATAAATTGCTCACCTCTTCCCTTGTACTATACATTAGGTTCTATCATGGTAATAACACACTAATCCCACACTTTTTTTTCATGTATACCTGAGTCTATTCCTTATTGTTAAGAGACTGAATCATAATCATTGTTTTGTCACCTTAAAGAGTGAATGAAACACAGAAGGGACTCAATACATGTTTAAAGAATTAGTAAGTCTGCAATGCCAAGACTGCCACTAAAACAATATTCCATATAACTTCTCACCTAGAATGAACATCCCTTTTACTTGTCACAATACTGAATCATTCTTGAATAATCAAGTATTAAATATACTACTTAATACTTAACAGTTTCAAAACATTAGACTATGGAATAAATACACTCATTATATTTCTTATACGGCTTCTTCTAATGATGTAAGGTTCAGCACGAATTTAAAGACAAGATGGAGCTCAGTGACCTAAAACAAAAGTGCTTTGATTTATAAAACTTTCCTAGTTTTATCTCCACTTATAAATTAGATTGGGGGGGACCCACACCCCATTCTATTATTTCTAGAGCAGGGGCAGGAAAACTTTCCATAAAAGGACAAATAGAAAATACTTTAAATTTTGCATGCCATACTGACTCTGTTACAACCGCTCAACTCTCATTGAGACAGAAAAGCAACCATAGACAACACATAAAACTTTTAACAAAAACAGCTGGCTGGGGCAGCATTCCACAGTTTGCTGACCTTTCTTCAAGAGCAATATAGTTTAAATCCTACTACAATTTCAATCCCATTCATCTGTTACACTAGAAAAATTTTTTCACAATAGAGGTCATTCCTTTAATGAATTCAAAAATTCTTAACATTTACAGAAGCAGTCTATTAATTTTATTACAATGGCCTCTGAAAGGAAATCGAAGTTATACATATTTAACTTCTAAATAAAATGTCTTTTTCCATAACTTAAATTTTAAAATTCCCAAGGTGGGTTGGGTGTGTAACTCAATGGTAGAGTGCTCACTTAGTAGGCATAATGCCCTGGGTTAAAATTAAAAGAAAAAAAATTCCAATTCAAACACATACTCTTCAAAGATTGCTTCACTGGTGTTGCTGCTGCTACTATTAATAAATTAAAGCTCCTAATTTCAAAGCAAAATCAGTTATTTTAATACCAACATAAATGCAAAAGAACAATAAGAAAGCACCAAGTTAGTTTTACCCAGCTGCATAGTCAACTATAAATAAAAACACATTCTCAAAAGAAATTTACAATAAATTTACAATAAATGGCCATGTACTAACTTGTTTTGGGTGTGAGGTAAACACTCAGAGCAGTAATAGCATCATTTGAAGGATCATGATAGAGTTCAGTTACAAGAAGATCATTATCCTTCATTCGCAAAGGGAACTTCTGCATATCTAAAACATAAAAATTTTAAATAGCAATAAATAATATATCTATTTAAAATTTTAAAAGTAATGTTTTCCTGTTTTCACTTAAATAATAATTAAAATAGGAGCATTTTAAGTGTCTATATACTTACCTATATAATATATTGATCCATTGTTACATCCCAATAGGAGGAATGACCCAGCAGTGTCATAACTAGTTATAGGAACAACGTCTTGAACCTAATGTGATGAAATTATTAGATGTTAAAAGTAATTATAATTTCTATTTTCCACTCAACTTCCTCAAAATTTTGATTCTTTTGATAAAAAGCAACAAATACCCAATTTTTGTAGAGCTCAGAAAATAAACCTTCTTTATGTACACATGCACACACATATGCCACAGGGAACTCTAAAAGCCATCAATATAGTTTCTTTTAATTTTTTTTTAAATTATTTTTCCAACACTAGCATTCTGCTTTCTGAAGTTTTATGAATATCTCCTTTTGCTGCATGTGGTCACTAGATCACAGCCCTCTGGAAATGGAAGGCCAAGTCTCATAAGAACCTCTGAGCCTTTCTCTTTCTGAGATTAAATGATCTGCCCAAAGTCACAGAGTAAGTAAGGAATAGAATTATAACTAGTAAACAAAGGAAGTGATTTTTAGATGTTATTAGATCCCTTGACAATTTATTCTCTTTTCTGTGAAAGGTAGCATTCACTATTTTTATTCTCCTTACTAAAGCTTTTCATCTATTTTCTAGGAAATGACAGGCATACAAAGTCTCCTATATTTGTACTGGAGTAAAAAATAGATCTTTCAAACCAATCAACCTAGTTTGCAAACTAATAACTGCCTATATATATGTTAAGATAAAAAACAAATGACATGAGTTTTATTATAAAGCAAACAGAACACAAAAAATTAAGTGGCAACAAGTGAGTTTAAAATGAATCTTCCCTTTCTATAGCCAAGTCAGAAAGGGATGTGAACTTCATAGTTGACATTTAAAGAAATATCAAATACCAAGTTTCACATACAAAAGTCAAAATGAGATTTTTTTAATGATTTGGAATTTAAAAATGTTAAAAGAACTTTTATTTGTCATATTTGGTTTTTATCTGAAAGGGTAAAGCCTAAACATCATCTGTCTAATGAGTGCACTTTTATGTACCAAATATTATCCAAGAAAACAACGAAGAACTTAAGTGGAGGTAAGGGACGTGAGAGAAAGAAAAAGAAACAATCATAGAAAAAGAGGCATGAAAATAGGATGTGCAATATAGTCACGAGGAGGGAGGAAAGACTGTCATCTCAGTATTGGTGAGAGCATAGGCCAACAGAGTGCTCACAGAGCAAGTGGAATCGGAAAATGAAGTCATCCAAGAGTGAGGTAGAGAAAGGGGAAGGGAATGTTTGACCCGACAAGTAAAAAAGTACAGAATCCATTTTAATTAAAAAATAAACAAATGAGAAAACTTTAAAATAATGATTCCTCTAAGCCATTCATATACAAGACGTACACAGTGTCATGATACGAGCCACAGTAGAAATATCTCTGCAAAGTACCACATCACCACACCCTAACTCCAGGTCAGGCTTTTCAAAGAGCCAATGCCAGCATGTCCTGTAGCAGGTGGACACTGTAAACCTTTCAGTGACAGGAATAAAAAATACGCTTTTATGCCAGTGAACCATTTTCTCACCTCAGGCAGCTGGAATCCTTTTAGCTCCAGCAGCACTACAGGAAGAATTTTAACTCCTACCCCAGAAGTGGAAAATAGGGGCAGATAAGGCCATGAGATTCCTCTCCCATTAGATTAATATTTCAATGAAAGATTGGGAGCAGCCTTGAGCTTCCCAAGGCTCATCTAAGAAAACCATTTTTATCATTTGTTCTCTGGGAGGATGGGCTCTAGGATTAGCACATTCTTACCTCATTTACTGCAATCCTTAATCACATCCTGCTTTTTTCCCACATCTATACCTCAGTACTGGTAGAACAGAGAAAGTAGAAGATGAGTAGGATTACAGAGAAGTTAGTACTGCCGAGTGTAAAAATAAGGAGAGAGCCATTATGGGGCCTCCTCTTCCTTATCTTGCCAAGTCAAGTAGGAACCAGAGAAACTTCACTGCTCAGTACTTTGGGTTCAGTCACATAAGTCACAGACATAAATTGGAAGTGGATTTTTATCTCCTCAAGAAGCACCCAGAAATCAACGTTAATTTCTTGGTGTAAATTTAAGTGATTTAAAATTTAGAAATAATGTTTATCTTTTCAACAGTATAAGGCCCCTAGAAACGTTTGTCCACAATCTCTATCCTGGTAAAAATCATTATTTTTATAAGTATGTTTTTACCTTTATCTATTACTTTTTAAATAATCACTTATCTAAATTTATCAGCATACCAACTTCTTTCCTAACCACTGCTTACTGAGTGACACTCCTTCCCCTTCAAATATAAATAATAATCTTTATCAAAAAAGTATTTCTTTAGTCCTTTTATTGAGGATTACGTTCATAATAATTTTTATGTTCATAATAACCAGGGGCTATGAGCTCACTTTCCATAGAAATCATTTCTGTGGATGTCTTATGCGCCCTCTTTTGTAAAAGTGTCCCATTTAGTTTTGTATTTACATCTAGGAATGTAACTGGTCCTATGTGAGTTTCTCAAATTGGAGGTTTTATACCACAAAGGCATAGCTTTGTGCTTTAATTCACATACTTGTTTTCCTAATTTGAATATTTTGGTTTGATTTCTCATGGAAGGTTTCTCTCTGCACCACTACTTTCAATCTAACCAGACACATGTAAAACTTTCTTCCAAAAATATTGAATGACATTTTTTCAGTCTTCATTTTAGGGACTGAGGGAGACCTTTAAAAAGATTCAGATTTTTGCAAGATACTCAATTTCTACTTTCCCATGAAGCCATGTTTTTATTGCTAAAATTCTAAGCCCTAGAGCTTTTATCTTGATACATGGGATGCAACTATGCATAAACAAATAACTTAACATTTAAATAAGTGCAATATATAGTTTTAATATTTGTACCCAGTATTTTTATAAGCAGAAAGGGGAGAGAAAAGCTTGCGTCAGCTAATTCAATTATCTTACTGTAAATTCTAAGTAAATATAACATACTAAGACAATGGTCACTATATAATAACAGATACCTAAAAATCAATCCTCTCCCCCACTGAATAGTGGGTTCAGAATTCCAATGCTCACCTTATTCCTATTCCTAACATGCAAGGATTTGTAAACCCTATTAATAACACAACATTTTTGATGTCAGTGCTAGAAATGCCTTATGTTGCGAGAGAAGCTAAATCAAATGAGCTTTCCTAATTCTTGTCCATTCTAACCCATAAGACCATAAAAATCCAATTCTTGGTCAAGAGCCAATATTTCCTCCTCAGTCTCTACTGTTCGTTTAGAGGACAGGCTCTCAGTGAAATGACAAATTTAACTGAAGATCTCTAGTCCTCAAAACGGACACAAGGAGAGTTTTGATCCTTTATACAGGTTTTCTAGGATTAGCTTCCTACACTGTTTTGAAATGAGAAAAAAATATACATAATCTATGTTTCCAAAATATATTTAAAGTTAAACTCAATGACTTGGTAAATGTTATCTAAAAGTTACTATTCTTCTATGTAATTTAGCAAAGACTTAGTATCTGACATCACTAATGACTTTTTTATTATTAATCTTTAGAATAATTGTGAGTTTGTGTGTGTATATTGTGTGAAGGAGGAGATTATAAAAGGGAATAAGAAGCTGAAATCTTTCTTTAAAGTTATTCTTACCTAAATTAGATTTGTTATAAAAACAAGTTTCACATTAGCTTTTAAGCTTAAGTACACACACACACACACACACACAAAGTATATCAGATTAACACACACACACACACACACACAGTTAAGTGGTTTATCTGATTCAAATACTTTAAATCAATCTGGATTATACATCTAGAATAAAAAATGCAAGGTTTGTCCTGTATACTTTCTGTGTAACTCATGGGCAGAACAATTGCTAAAGGTCAAATCACAACTTATTCAACTAGTGTTACAGCAGTCATGGGAGTCAGCCTCCGGTCAGAATTGTCTGTTGAGATCTGCATATCAGAAGCTGAGATTTTATTACATTCCATCTCTGCAATGCACCATAAAGAAATTCAGTTAACTGGGTCAGAAGGCTTGTTTGCAGCATGAATGGTCAACTTTCCCAAGGTCTTCCTGAAATATGTAACAAATCTACTTTGTCAGATACAGTTTTTAATTCATGCATACACCAAGCAAGAAGCATCAGGTTATATATGGGATCAAAAAGTTTAAGCCTGCCTATCCACTTTGAGGATACTAGTACAGGATTCAGGATCTTAAAGATATTAAAACCTTAATATATAGTTTCAAAATGTTAGTAAAAAATAAAAAAGGTAATCAAGAAGCATGTTACTTTATGAACCATAAATATATTTTAGCACTTTTATGGCAGACAGTTTAGTTTTTTTTCTCCCCGCCATTAAAACTGAAACTTGGCATAATTAGCAAAGTAACCCACCTCAGAGAACTTCCACAAATCAGTAAAACTCACGTTCTTTAAAGAAATACCACCAGCTAAAGAATCCTTCTGATCAACTTCTCTCTACCATCTAGAGTAGTCCTTGGCTCATTATTTTTATGCTGACAACCAGTATAATGCTGTGCCAATGCGGAAAGTCCATTATAGCTAATCTTTCTTTCCACAAACATGACTTCTATATCTTCATTGAAAATGAAACCCAATTTCCCTGGGACTGTGATTCCTTTAATTGGAAATCATTCGTTTTTCTCACAATCTCCCCAGTATCTCAGAGTTGTAAGTTCTCAAGAATGTTTCTTCATAACCTCAACTTTCACATCACAACTCTGCTCAGAATGTGCTTTTCAGATCAACCTATCATCTTTACTAAGAATCTTGGTGCCTGGATCAGTTTATTTTTTCTCCCATTCTCTAGTACTTGATATCCTGGCACCTATTGATATTCCTTACAGTTCCTTGACCCCAAATGCAATATGGTCACTCATCAGTATCAATGGGGGACTGTTCCAAGACTCACAAAGATACCAAAATTCTTGGATGCTCAAATATAAAATGTCACAGTATTTACATACAACATACATATAACCCTCCCATATACTTTAAATCATCTCTAGATTATGTATATACATATAAATAGTTGTTAAACTCTATCTTTTAGAAAAAGTGTTAAGGAAAAATCTTTGTGCATGTTCAATACAGAATCTCTGTACATGATCAATACAGATCCAGTTTTTCTGTTTTCGAAACTTTTAATCATAGATGGTTGAATTTGTAGATAAAAAAAATCAATGGAGATGGAGGGTTGACTGTACTTCTATCTCTAAGTCAGTTGAACAAATTAAACTGGCTTTATCATTGAGACCTGCACCAACTCTAAAACTTTAAATTATATCTTTGATAATAACCCCCTATACTTCCAACAACTCTATTTCTTGTAAGTCATCAATCTGCTTATCTTTCCTCTAGTCCTTTACATCACTGCATCCTTTTTTGCCTACCAAGCACTTCCTTATTACCATCTTTTGATCTCAGTTTCAGTTACCTTGGCATTTTTACAATCTGTCATTCCCTGGCATGTGGTATCCACATTAATAAAGCTGTTATGATTTAGGCACAAGGTGTTACCCAAAAGTTCATGTGTGAGACAACGAAAATATCTTCAGAGGTGAAAGATTATGAGAGTTATGACTTAATTAGTGGATTAATGCACTTCAATGGATTAACTGGGCAGCAACATAGGCAAGTAGAATATGGCTGGAGGAGGTAGATCACTGGCATGCCTTTGGGATTTCTGTTGTCCCTGGTGAGCTTCCAAGTTGTCTCTGCTTCTGTGTTGCCATGTCCTCAGCTGTTTTCTTCCACCATGCTACCTCATCTTAGGCCCAGAGCTATGGATTCAGCCATCTACTGACTGAGACCTTTGAAATCATGGCCAAAATAAACTTTTCCTCCTCTTTGCTGTTTTTGTCAGTTTTTTTGGTCACGGAAATGCAAAAGATGACTAAGACAAACTCAATCCTAAATCAAGTAAATACTGTTTTCTTTTCTCTTGTTCTGAACACTAATGGAAAAACTCTTATTATCCAGGTCCACTGCAGATACACAATTTATAATCTATGATACATATTTCCAATGTGTTTCTTTTTACTCTTTTCTCCTAAACTATCACAGAGAAAGACAAGTCTCTACTCTCTATTGGCCCAATCTCTCTGGCTGTGCTCCAGATTCCACACATTCCTGACTTTTGTGGGACCAAAAATCATCTCCATTCTTTCAATCTTCAGGAGCTTTCTCTGCAACTTCCCTCTCTGGCTATAAGCATGTCTTAAGCATCTCTTAACCAAGAGAAAAAAATAAAATATAGCACCAAGCTGCTGCTGCTTCTTTTTTTCAATCTAGCCTTAATTATTGTCATTTTTGTTTCTGGTTTTCTTTTTCACCACACTTCTTGAAAGATAATTCTGAATTTTCTGTCTCTTTTAGTTCCTCAGTTCTTGCAATCTGGCTTTTTCTCACCAAAACCTAATTAAGACTTATTTGCAAATGATATCCTACTGCCAAAATGAATTTCCTTTCTCAATTATTTCATATGTGTTCCCCTTTGAGTTTTAGTTCCTCTAGAGTTTTCTGTTCTTTTATATACCTTTCTCAATGAAAAATGTTATCAGTTCTTATCTTTTAAATTACCAAGGAGGTAATAAGGGTTTGGAATTTATTTCTAGCCCCTTCTTCTTTCTAAATTTCAAAGGAATATTCCCAGCTATCCTCTGAACACCTGCACTTGGATGCACATAAGAATTGCATATTTTTTATTTCTCACATTACCCACCAATATATATGTTTCTCTGTCCATGTTCTCTATCAATTTAAAATAGTGCTAGCTATTCAACAGTCAAAACTGAAAAACCAAAACTAGAAATACACCTTTCTTTTTGTAATTTCCCAGCTCAACCACATTTTGGTCCTGTCATTTTAGAAAGTCTAAGAAATGTTTTTCAAACAGATTCACCTTTGCCATCTTTGAGACCACTATCATTAGCTGGGACTCTGGTATCCTTTTGCAGGATTCCTGTAGTAGACTCCCCATGGTCTCCAATCCACCTTCCATTTTAGCTACCAGTATTGATGTTCTAAACCATGGATTCTTCTGGAGAGTCCTTAATTTTTTCTCTTCAGAGTTATGTAGTAACCGTTTTTTAGTCTTATCTTCTTATTCTTCTCAGGTACTTCAGAATATTTAGCCTACCCTCTTCTCTGAACAGGTCATATATTTTCTTTCTTTCTTTTTGGTACTGAGAATTGAACCTGGAGGTGCTCTACAACTAAGCTACATCCCTAATCCTTTTTATTTTTTATTTTGAGACAGGGCATTGCTAAATTGCTGAGGCTAGCCTCAAACTTGCCATCCTCCTGCCTCAGTCCTGAGTCACTGGGAGTACAGACATGCATCACCATGTCTAGCAGATCACATGGTCTCATACAGATCTGTGCTTCCATACAAAAAATGATGTTTGCCTGGACTACCATGTCTACAACATGAAAGGTAAAAGGAATCCAAAGAAATGAAGAAGTGCCAAGCCAGTTAAAAACTATTCATTTTCCAAAGTAACATATTTCTTAAAAAAAGTAAAATTTGTATTCAGAAGCATCTAAATATATTCAATATTATGTATAATAAAAAACAGTATGTAGTCTACAAGGAAAAAAACAAATGCATGACCAGCATAAGTTTCAGAAATATTTTCATTTCTGTAATAAGCTTCAGTTAAAACTAACCTGCCAGTGCTGAGTGACAGCATTCCACACTCCTACTTTCCCTGTATGACTCGTGGCCACCAACTGGTTACCAATAAAGAAGAGGGCATCTACAGGAACACCAAGGCTGAACACTCCTTAAATGACAGAATAAATAAAGAGGTTAACCAGTGACCATGTTTACAATTAGCCAAAACCTATATTTAAAACATCTTAAAGATGACTAATTTAAATCCATTCTCTTTTATATAAATTAAGTGCTAGACTCAGAGATCAGAAATACAAACATGATAAGCTCTTAAGAAGTTTATAGAACTCCTTAACCAAAGTATGCTCCAAGTCATCTCACACTGCTATAATATCTCATTATCTGGAGCTGTGGTTCTTAATTCTATCTGATCATCAAAATATCCTGGCAGATTTAAAGTGAACAAAATAAAAAGGATCTTAGGATCCATGCTGGACCCAATAAATCAGAAAACCCACTGCATTTTTATATCTATAGGAAATTTAAATGCAGCTTGCTCATGGACCTGATATTTGGGAACCACTGTTCTGAACAAAAACCTGGCAGTTTCAATATCCAGAATTTATCTAAAAATCTGGAAATAAGTCACACTATACTCAAACATTCAGGCCTTTTACTCAGAGCTTATTTTAAACCTGTTTCCAAGCATTTCAATTTCAATTTAATTAATTTGAAAGACATTACAATAGGCCTTGGAATTAAAAAAAAACACAAGACAATGAGAAATTATTAGGAACTTACAGTGTAGCAGAGAGAAAACTGCAAATAACCAACTATAATATAATGCAAAAATAATAATAGAATACACAGGGTACAGTAATATCCAGAGGAGTAAAAATGAATAGGTAAAGGGTCTGAAAATATATCTTAGAAAAGAAGCCTTATGAGAGTTGGGTTTGTGAAAAGGTTAACAGAAGTTCAACAAATTGGGCAACTAGGAATGGGTAAGCCCAAGGAATATGAGGGAAGGGAAGAGGGAGTATAGGAGAAGGAGGTTGTAAGGAGCAAATATTCTATATTAATATCAAAAGAGACAAGAATGGCTACGCAAAGAATTCTAAGCTCACTTTGGAATGGCATATATGCCCTATACAATGTCTATCTTTAGTAGAGCACTACACTAGAGTCAGGAGAACCTGGGCTGATCCTCTCTCAACGTACTTTTGTGTGCCACCTTTCTGGCTCTTACTTACCTCACCTACAAAACAGAGTCCAAGTTAAAAGTCTCAATACCATTTTCACCTTAAAAATGTTCATAATTCAATTCTAGCACTTAAAAAATATTATCTTAATTATCTGAAAAGCAGCTATGAGAACTATCTTTTCATTTAATAATGCTATAAAACAAGTCTTACCTATAAAATATTGTTTTATGTCTTTATGCTATTTCAAATATCAGTTTATTTCAAAAAAGTATGCATATATGAACAATTTTCTCAGAATTTAACTGAGGAAAAAAAAAAAAAGACACAGAAGGCCTTGAAGAAGGGCTGGGCATGCAGCTCAGTGGTAGAGCACTTCACCTAGCATGCATAAGGCCCTGGTACTATTACCAATACTGCAAAAATATTAAATAAATAAAAAATAAAAGGCCTTAAAGAACTCACGGGAAAAAAAATAAATAAATACAATTGCAGTGCATTTTAAAAGCCTAAGCTAAAAAAGATTACCAACTTCTTTCAAATCAGTGCTAGGTATTCTCTTTTTGTTCAAGACTACACTACATACAAGACCAGCGGCACTCAACATATTGAAAATTCTTAATCAATTTTGAAAAAGTTGGCCATCTAGCAGGAAGAAAGATGACATATACTAGACAAAAAGAAAAAAAAAAGAAGACTGGCAAGTGCTAGGAATATTTCTACATATTTTTAAATTTAATTAATTTCTATACATTAAATAATTTAAATTAATTTCTACAAATTAATTAATTTTATACGTTTTAAATTTAAATTAAATTGTATGTAAAAGATATTTACATAAACATACACATGAATATACCACCTCAGTCCAACCAGACAACCTAAAAGACAGAACAAAATAAAAACACAAAAAAAAGGCTAATAAGCCCTTTGATCAAAATTGGTTAAAAAAATAAACCTCTCACTTCAAAGCAGAAAGTAATTATCTTACATTCTATACAGTTTTAGAGATTATCACATCATGGAACTTTAATTTTGATGCCAAACAATTTTTCAAAATATGTGAAGCTAACTATATTCAGTCCTGTGGTCTATGTAAAAGGCAGAAATAAAAAGAGGAAACCAACTAGCTTTTATTACTCTACAGAACGATGAGGTTCTGGGAAATCAAGGAAGATATTCTTAATGGTCTCATGAAATTTAAAGTGTCACTCCTGCTTAGGGTCAAGAATTCTGACCACTTCCATAGGGAAGACAGGAGTACAAATAATGACAAGTTCCTGTCTTAACAGGCCTGCTCAGTAAAATATTGCTTGCAGCAGCAATCCAGAAGTGCTGTTATAATGAAGGGAGTTCAGTCTCTAGGAGAGCTCTATCATGGATCCACCAGCCCTAACTATTTTCTCTGGGTGGTATTGTCAAGTTCTGAAGAACATTTGTAACAACCAAATGGTTTCTTTTACAAGGCATGAACAAATCACTATTATACCACCTCACACCATAGCTACCTATCATGTTATCCTTTGAAAACAAAGTTGAAACAAAATCTCCTTCATTTATTGCTATATTAGAAACTGCAACTTGAAAAAGCAAAAAATAAAATAACAACTGGTCTCCTTTCTGTATAATTACAAGGGTTTTTAATTTCAAAACTGTAATATTAAAATTTGTTCTGAGGTTGACAGGTAGAACTTACGCTGGAATAAATTGTACCCAATCATTCCTCACTTTGAAATAAACACACAAACAAAAACTAGACAAGACCCATCAGCCAGTGTTTTTAGGCACTGGACAACAGGCAGTGTTGTACTTGAGAGATGGGAAACACACAAGAAAAGCACAGGAAACTGTGCCAGGATGGGAGTGGGAAGAAAGTTACACAGGGGTTTCCCTAAGGTCCTGGCTCCTTACTAAGGCCAAACTGCAGCTGGTCAGGATGAGACTCCCAAGAATAAAAGAAAAGGGCTGCTATAGGAAGAACTGAGAGCTACTAGAGATCTGAGAGGTCATATGTGAATTACAGCTCAATGAAAGTGGTTATCCTTTGCTGTACACCTCAGGTTAAGACTACAGAAAGGCAACTTTTAAAAAAAAATTAAAAATAAAGATGAAAAAGGCTACCTACCCGTAACAAAGCTTGCACGTGCACACACACACACACACACACACACAAGTCTAATAGGATCAAAACAATCCTCCCATAATAATGTAACCACTTGCCAAAACAAAATCCACATTTTTTAAAGGAAGGCAGCATAATCCATAAACCCTATATAACTTATCAGGCACATGTGCAAGACATACTCAAAATATCCTAAACATGTGAAGAGCCAAGAAAATGTGACCCGAAACAAAACACCTGGGTATTGGAATTACCAGACAAAAGCTTTAATCAAACCATTAATATGTTTGTTAGATTTAACAAAGAGGGAACATAATAGCCAAAAAGATGAATCTCAGCAGAGAAACAAACTATAAAATAGAATTAAAGGAGTAATTCTACAACTAAAAAGTCAAACCTTTCAAATGCATACTCACTAGAAAGGATTAATTATAAATTGATTACTGTAGAAAACAGGCAAAAGCCATTAAAAGTAGATAAACAGTGTATCTAGAAAACAGAAACTAGTGGTGGGGCTGGGAGACAAAGCTTCACTGACCTGTAGGCCACTATAAAATGTTCTAATATCAGTCTCAAAAGGAGGAGGTTGAAGGAAGAAAGACATGGGGGAGGAGGATACAGGCTTCCCTCAGTTATGTCAATCAAATCTAGAATATATAAAGAATGCTTAGAAACCAATAGTAGGACGACAACTTCATAAAAAAGAAAGTCAATACTTTAGGACATTTCTGAAAAAAAATATACAAATGGTCATTATCACATGAAAAAGTGCTGAGCATCATTTGTAATCAGGAAAATGTAACTAAAAATCACCATTAAAATGAGAATTATAGCATGACTGTATGCTGATGAAATGATTCAACCCAGTAGGAAGCCTGTATGATGAAGAAAAGAGTGGGGATAACTACTAGAACAATGTCCTTGAGTAGACAAGAGGAGTTAGAACCAAGTGCGCAGTTGGAGAAGTTGGCTTTCGAGAACAGAGACAATTTAATCACAGTTAATAAATGGGCACAATAGAGATTGTAAGCACCAATACACACAGATGAGCAGATATAATACTAAGAACTTACACAGAAAATCATTTTTTATTTTCTCAGTATGAAAAGAGAAGGTGTTGACTACTTAGGAAGAAAGCAAAAAGTATAAAAAATCTATGAGAGTCACAGAGAATTGACAAGAATAATACAAGATTGTTGGGTAGTTTTAAAGGCTCACTTAACATTAGTGCTTTGTGTGTGTGTCCCATGTGCCCATTTCTTTTCCTAGCAGTATTTAGCCACAGAGATAGAAAGGTGGATCTGGCCAAGGTTTGTTTTTTCCGGGTTAAGCAAAGTGAAAAAGAGATCCCACTGGAGTTAAAGGATTTTTACATTAGAGAACCAGAGCTCATAACTTCAAAGGAGGAAAGGATAGTGACCCAAATGGCAGATGAAGACTATGTTCAGTGTAGCTACAGATGATATGAGACTCAAAACCAGGAACAGGGGAAAGGAAGCTGGGAGGAAAGGTTAAGGAGAATGGTCTAGAACAGTGATTTTCAAAGTATGGTCTGAGGAACACAGTTCCCTTTCCGGAAATGTGAGAAGTTAAAAACTTTTTTCATGGTAATATTAAATAATTATTTGTCTTTTCTTTACTCTTATTTTCTAAGAGTGTATGGAGCTTTCCAGAGGCCACATGACATGTGACAAAGTCACCAGTATGACAACTAGCAGAATCTGTACATGTATTTTTATTTTTTTCTAGAATTATCTATGAAGGCAGGTTAAGAATACAACTATGTAAGTTTCCCAAGATTTTTTAACTGTTTCTAAATACTTATACTGTGCTCTTCCTGTCTATCTTTAGTTTTACCTGTCATACTCTCTGTAACCTCATTATCTTCTATTGCATTATTATTTTGAAATCCAAGGTTTCCTTGCACCCACAAAGAAACACAAGAAATAAGTACAGTCGTAGCTGCATAACACTGTTGTGGTCAACAACAGACCACCTATGTGACTATTTTCCCACTAGCCAGGTACAGCAGTGTATGCCTGTAATCCTATCAATATAGGAGGTTGCAACATGAGAATCTAAAGTTCAAGGCCAGACTCAGCAAGTCCTAAGCAAGACCCTGCCTCAAAACAAAAAACAAAAAGGGTTGGGGATATGACTCAATGATAAAGCACCCCTGGGATAAATTCCCAGGACAAGCCCCCACTCCCTCCTGACACCCAAAGACTAACATCTAGTAACAAACTAGTCATCTTAGTTTGTCTAAGTATATTCTATGATGTTCACATAATGCCAGAATCCCTAATGACACATTTCTCAGGACATATCCCCATTGTTTAGTGACTCATGAGGTATATATTGATGTTGTATTCTTTAACATTAGTATAAAAAATGTTCTGAAACTTTTCTAAAATTTTAAATTTAACTAAAACTGTTCAAAATTTGATATTTTGTTTTTAAAAAAATCTAGTTTTAATATATATTCTTTCTCATAGTGATGTATCATTTGCTTAAAATAAGAAAATTAGAATATTCACCTGCTTGACTCATAGCTGCACAATCTCAGTCTAAAGACTTAACAAAGAAATAAACTTGACATATCAGAATTCTTTGATTTAGAGAACGAAGGACTCTAAAAAAATGTCAAGCCAGGCATGGTGTCACACTCCTAAAATCTCAACAGCGTGAGAGGCTGAGGCCAGAGGATCATAAGTTCCAAGACAGTCTCAGCAATTTAGCGAGACCCTGTCTCAAAATAAAAAATAAAAATAAAAAGGGCTGAGGATGTGGCTCAGTGGTTAAGCACCCCAAGATTTAATTTCTGGTACAAACAAAACTGAGCAAAACTATAAATACAAGTTTTAAATATAAAAATCATCTCTCAACTTTACAGATACTAATAACTTAACCTAATTATATTTTATACAACACAACACTTGAATAGCTTGTATCAGTTGCAGGTTCACTGAGGCCAAACAGGGTTTAAGGAAAGAAACTCTTTAAGAGCTGGAAAGTTATTTGCTATAGACTTTCAATTAGAATTGGAAAAGGCAGTAAAATCTCTTACAGGGTAAGTTATGGCATGACTCTGGCTAGAGAAATGCCATCCACCCATTCTGGGAGACTACTAAAAATCTTGAACAGATGACAATGCTCAATGACAAAGCTCTAGATGAAAAATCAGTCTAAGAAATCACAGCACTAACACTTTTAAGTGATACTAACTGCTTCAAAATAAATGTCTGAAAGAGGTAATATCTCATCTGCAAAATTCTATCTATGTCTTACAAATAAATAGATACAGACCTTATGTTTTGTTTGTATTTACCTGGTCTCAACATTAACTAATCATTAAAGATCTTTTACATGAACACAAAATATAAGCCATGCTGAAACATCAAAGTGTTGAAAACTTATGAATCTCATGGCTTATTCTAGAACATCTGTGTTGACGCTTTCACTGATGATGTAAATCAATGCTGGGTATAAACAGCAGGCAACCTAGTACAAATCAAGGCAGTGGCACTAATCTGTACTAGTGGTCATTAAAATCTCTGCCACAAATTTTCAGGGAAAGAAAAAAAGTCCAGTTTAACTCATAAACATCCTTTCTAAAGCAGTAAAAACTTGTATTGATTAAATTCCAATTTTAAATATGTCTTTTTAATATTATGTAGAACTAAGAACTACAGATATAGTTCATCTTGATGCAGATTACAAGAAAAAAACTTCATAATTATGAAGCTAAGAGTAACACCACCTACTTTTTTTCCAATTGAATACAATTTTTATTTGAAATGATGAATAACTGTAGCTATTCAGATATGGGTAAAAAGCAGAACTTTCCTCAAAAATGAACAAAGTAAGCCTATTATTTCAAGGAAAAGAAATGATGACATTTGCTAACTATGATTCAATTTCAAAAGTATCAAGTGAACATTAGTACTCTGAAACTTTGCCACAGAATGTATGACAACTTCCCAAAACAGAGTTCAGATATGTGATCACTGATAACACTAAGGATTGCAGATTTTTGACACTGTGTAAAGACAGGTATCAACATTTGGCAGGTCTACATAAGTCAGTAAACCAACAGTTTCCAAGTGACCAACAAACAATGTACAAAATCAAGCCTGAATAAAAGATCCATTCAAAGTATAAAACAGACCTATGGGTTTTATAGAATATGGAAAGTGAGATGGTATCATTTCAGAATTTTGGAACAAGATCCAAGAATATTCAAAATGGTCTGAAAAGATAATAAAAATGAGTTTTTTCTAACTACATATGTGTGTAAAGCCTATCTTTGTATACTTTGATCAAAACAATATATTGGCAGGCCCAATGGTACACTCCTGTAATTTCAGCAACTCAAAAAGCTGAGGCAAGAGGATCACAAGTATGAGGCCAGATTCAGTAACTTAGCTAGACCCTCAGCAACTTAGTGAGATTCTGTCTCAAAAATTTAAAAAATGGACTGGAGATGTGGCTAGGTGTTAAAATACCCCTGCATTCCATACCCAGTGCCAAAAAAAGGTAACATGGCATACTGAATGGAGAAATATGTATCAAAATTAAAAAAAAAAATTACAGAGGTTTTTAAGACCATAAATGAAGCCAGGCACAGTGGTACACACCTATAATCCTAGCTACTCAGGAAGTCAAGGCAAGTTGGAGGACAGGCTAGGCAGCTTAACACGATCCTCTCAAAATAATAAGGGGATGGGAATGTAGTTCAGTGGTAGAGTACACCTGAATTAATTCCCCAGAACCCCAAAATAAACACACAAACCAAAGCCACTCTCCTCACAAAATTTTGTTTTAGAAAACAGTTATTTTTCATTAAAAATGTTACTTATATTATCACACAGGGATATACTACTACTATTTTAATATTTATAAATTTTTAGTTTTAATTTCCAGTATGGTAAATACTGCATAAATGGTAATCTACACAACGACTTTTTGTGGTCCTAAACAACTTTCCAAGAGCCTGATGGGGTTTCGAGAACAAATATGTGAGAATTTCTGGTCTAGAAGTAACAATGATGAATAAGAAAGTAATTTAACTCATCTTCAAGCCCCGTGAAATAACAGAGTAGGAAAAAAACAGCTACCATGGAGTAGAACTCAAGAAAGCAACATTCTCATAATGCAGCCACATTTCAGTTGGAGCAAACTAAAAAGATGCTCCCCTCTTTTCTAAAGCATCAAATTTCCCTCCCTCTTTACCATATCATTTCTTTCACACCAAGTAGTCCGCTTACTAGTGGGCCCTGGAAAAAAATGGTGAGGCAGCTCTAGCTAACAAACAGTACATGTTAGTTTTCATACTTAGGGTCAACACCTCCTAAAATTAAAAAAATATTACATGTGCAGGTGAAATGCAACAAAAACAAGAGTCTTCCTACCAATTTCACTTCCACTTCCCCCATCCTGAACACTCCACAGGATGATGCTGCTCTCTGAGGCAACAGCAACCATTTTGTCTTTGTCTCCATGTGGACCTCCAACTACTTTTGCATTTAGAGCCACTCGTTCAATAGTCCAGTCTAAATAGGGGCTTGTAAACACTTGTTGCCATCCTGAAGATTCTTTGATTCTGTAAAGAAACAACAGACACATAAGGAAGACACATAATGTTGGCAGTTAAGCAAACAGATGTACCAATGAATGTATGAAAAAAGCGAAAATAATCACAGCTACCTACCCATCTTTATATTTGTTAAATAAAAAATGTTTCTGAAGTACCAGACTATCATCGATATATCTTATATTTACACATTTAGGGCATATAACCACTTTAAAAGATATTAGAATCTATATTTTACCAAAGAATAATTTAAGAAAGTCCTTCAAATCACTTTGAAAACTTTTTTTTTTAAGCTTGTTATATCTTTCACATTTTTCCCACAAAAAAGAACTATTATCATTTTCTATGGGTAGAAATGGTCAACAAAAATCAAAATTTTAAAACTATTATCATTCCTTTGAGTTACTAATCAGGCTTTTTGTTTTATTACCATTACTAACTGAAATGACATTCACTGAAGCTATTTTTCTTTCTACTTCAGAAACAGTCTGTTCAAACAAACTAAGAAAAGAAAGCGTACCACATAATACCTCAGTAATTAAATGAACCAAGAATGAGGCTTTGAAAACCCTCACCTGCAGACTAATTCTTGAAGGTCTACTGTTGAAGGACTATGATTCCCCAGATGTAAACTAATGTGTTCTTTAACATTTAATTTCCCTGATAAACACCTGGCAATTTTAATATTTTTTCCCTGTACAACCTGAATTTAGGTCTTTCATATATATATATATATATATATATGGGATTATATAGTAAGCCGCCACACATTTAGGGCCTAAAGTTAGTTGTGTGATTATGACAATGACTTGAATAATTAAATACCTATTTTTAAGCAACACTAAAAAATAATGCAAACAAAATTGCTATTTTCTCTTTGTCCTACTTAAACAGACTAAACAGAAGATGAAGGGGAAAAAAAGTCCCTTTACATGCCACCTGACATATTCTTTGGAAAAATTAAAAAGGGAGTTCTGGGGGCATACCTTAATGCTAGAGCACTCAGTATGCACAAGGCCCATAGGTTGAATCCTTAGCTAAAAAAACAATAAATAAAATTTAGATATTGATAAACAATGGTCACTGAAAAACCTAAATAAAAACATTTCAATTTTATTTTCCTTTAAATGTGTATACTAAAATAATACCATTATAATTCATAAAGGTACCTATTTAGCCTTCTTAATTTGAAGAATGATAGCTTTCCTTAAACTTAAAGCAATATTGAGAAGAATTTACCAAAATTTCCTAAGCATTTTAAAGTCTGTAATTACCATCTTCAGCCACCAGATGGGAATCATGCTAAGATAAACAACTGAAAATAATTATCTAATATTTTCTAAAAATTGATAAAACATTGAGGAATGAAATGTAGATGTAATTTGAGACTTTCAGAATGGGCACAAAGCAGGAATTGCTAGCACTTCAAGAACAAAAACAGCATACTGTATTGTGATGTATGCTGGGTTCCTACTAAGGTCTGGTAAAGAGACACTGAATTGACTTAATGAGGTGAATAATGTGATTCTGTGAATATTAATTTAGGAATATAAATGATAAAATTATGCGTAATCTTATCTTTTACAGATAACATATATCTATGTTATCTGTAACATTTTTCTCTATAACAAGGTATTACAAAATAAAGAGATGATAAGAAAGGGTAAAAGAATCAAGATGACACACTTAACAGTGACTAAAACAGCTACAGCATTTAACTTGGGAAGATATGTGAATCTACTTCTATTTTTAAACTAAAATTAAGTACAAAGAAAAAATACATTCACTATATAATTCTGCATAACAGGATTTGAGATTTAAAATACACAAATAAGAAAGAATGAGTTCTGCTTGCACTATAACTCCTTACTACTCTCTTAGGATTCAGGACATCTATACAAAGAATATGGTTAGTTCCCTCATTAAACACTTAGGAAATTCTGTTCTACAAGATTTTACAACTTAACTGTAAATATAATTTACTTTAAATGGTATGGAAATAGACAAAGATGTAAGACTTTATAAGAATCCTTAAAAAATACACATACACATACACACCTAAAAGTGTATGTGTATGTGTAAACATAACATAAAATAAAGGGAGCTTTCAAATTCAGTGAAATGGTAATTTATGTAATAAATGATCAGAATTTAATTAACTACCCACTTGGAAGAAAAAAAATTCTTAACTCTCACAGCAAATACAAAAAAGTAAATTTAAATTCTTCATGGATTAAAGATTTAAAACGGGATATAAATGGCAAGAAGGGAGCAAACTTACACAACTACGCTTCATAACACAAGTAACACTGTCAAAGACTCAAAAAGAAAAAGGGGTAAAAAAAATCTTAACCACGTAGAAAATTATTGAATCTATGGGAAGAACATATAGGTAGGTACTCACTATATTAGTCTTTAAAGTTTTTAACTTATTACATAGAAAAGATTGCACTCTTGTATAAGATTTCCTTCTTTTTAAATCTTATTGCCACTGTGTGGGATGATTTAACTATACATTAAGAAATTTAGTATGCCCTCAATTATTTCCCTGTCTCACTTTGTATGGGCACACTGCTGCAGCACTGACAGTGAAAGCAAAGAAAGATCCTGGTCAAAAGCAAAAAGAATGGAAAATGTAATAGCATCATTTTTCATATACTCATCACTTGTGTTAAATTTTGTGCAATACTGTGAATCTCCAGGAAGTAGCAACATTCAGCACTGCTGTGCAGTAATAAAAGCTATGTTAGCTGTTACACATCATCTCATAACTTTCTGGAATTTCTTATCAGTACATAATATTTAAGTGGCTGGCCAAAGGGGGGAAAAATAAAAGTCTTTTCACTTACATCCTTAAGATGGTTAAGTTCAAAATGAGTCTTAAAAAAACTTCAGCAAATTAGTCTTAATTCATATAAAAACTGTCTATAAATTATCCAAAATATTATTTTTATACTATTCAATAATTTAATTTCAAAATCCACAAAACACTCTCAAAATGAAAAGTTTGCACCTAATCACTACTTACAATTAAAAAAAAAAAGAACCTGAAATAACAGAAAGGGGCCCTAACCAAATGTGGCAAGCCTTTTCATAAACCGAGTATTTTTTAATATATCTGGGATTTTTTATTTGTGGGGGGGGGGGCACAGTTTTACTGGGACTGAATTCAGGGGCACATGACCACTGAGCCACATCCCCAGCCCTATTTTATAGTTTACTTAGAGACAGGGTCTCACTGAGTTGCTTGGCGTCTCACTTTTGCTGAGGCTGGCTTTGAACTTCCGATCCTCCTGTCTCACAGCCTCCCAAGCAACTGGGATTACAGGCATGCACAACTGCACCCAGCTTATATCTGTGATTCTTTAAAACATATCTTATTATAAACTCTAGAGGACATTTGTAACTTTTTAAACTTTCTGTGCCTATTTTTTCTTAATTGAAGTCAATAGTGACAAAAATTTATAGATTCCTTAATTTTTCAGCAATTAAATTATATGGGATCATAATATAAACTAGTAAATTCCAACCAGTTTTTTGCTTCCATTCCATTTTCTATCATCGGCATTTCTCAATGCAGATAGTGATTAGTGATTTCAACTGAGTGTTGACCTTTCCCCATTTTGCCCATTTAAAAAAAAAAAATATCACTGGTCTACACTATTCTTCATCCTCTTTTAGTGTCTAAGAATCTAAAAATTAATAAAATAAAATTATTGCATAAATCTCTCACATTATAGATATTAAACCCAACTACTTCTGCCCACAGCTGTCCTGTTTCACTACGTCACTCCCAACAACACAGTAATTATGACCAGCAGAGTCTTACTCTTCTATAGAGTATAAATGACTGAATCATTATAACCTACAGTGGCTACATTTTCTTAAGCTACAATTAATAATCATCATCTTATAACTGAATCATTAAAGTTAAAATATTATGATATGTATATTGATAATTCTATCTAAAATTAACTTAATGTAAGTTAAATGACTCAGAAGCTAGACAGAACCAAGAAATAATAACATCAAGACATCTCAGTTACATTACAGTTGATACAGCCTGGCAAATACAATAAGAAGACCATCAGCAATATTTACAAATTTGCTGTCAAAGTAAAAGCAAACTAGGCTGGAGGTATAGTTCAGTGGTATAGCGCTTGCCTAGCACATGTGAGGCACTGGGTTTAATCCTCAGCACCACATACAAATAAATAAAGGCATTGTGACCATCTACAACTAAAAATGTTAAAAAAAAAAAAAAAAGTAAAAGCAAACTAAATCTTAAAATGGATACAGTAGAAGTGGGTGAAATATCCATGAAAAAAAAAATTATTTTTTTCAGATACCACCCCCAGCCCTTTTCATTAGCAATACTGGGGACATGCACATGCTAGGCAAGTATTCTACCATGTATATCCCCAGCTCTGCAGAGGAAAATTCTGATGGATAAAAGAAAGAGCTCCTAATCTAATAATATAAAATCATAAATATCAGAAACTACCATCTAAAATAAAATGCAAACCACTATTATTACGTAATACCTGTAACACACAGCAAAATGAGCATATGCAGCTACAATCCAGTTGTGATGGCCAGCTACTATTAGCACCTTTCGTGGATCCACAGGAAATCCTGTTGATTTTGGAAAAAGAAATATCTTATATTCTAAAATGAGTTGGCAAATTATGGCCCACAGTCCAATTCCAGTCTTCTGCCTGTTTCGATTAATAGCTTGGTTGGAACACAGTCACATGCCCTTGTTTATCTATCATCCATTGTGCCCTCATGCTACAATGTCAAAGTTGAATAGCCCTGACAAAGACAGTACAGCCCATAAAGCCTAAATTTTTAATTTACAATCTGGTTCTTAACAGCAAGTTTATCAGTCCTTATTCTGAAGATTCACAGCAAACAGATCACATTACTTTTTAAATAAATGATTATGTTAAATGAGATTCTTTTTAATGATCTAAATGATAAATCTGGATTTAAAAAAGAGATAAGGCCAAAATTACATACTTAAAAATAATTACTCAAGTATTTTCAAGAACTGAAAATATATGCATTTTTCTTTTTCTATTTATATAATCTTTTCTTACCCAGTCTAACAGTCTCTTCTCCAGTTCCAGAGAGAACAGGTTGAGTACCATTTCCCCGGGCTTCACCTTCTGCAGAATTTAGTCCATTCCGAGAATCAGCAGAAGATCTAGCTGTGTTGTTTATTTTACGACTAGGAATGCCTATAAAGGAAAAGCCATATTTATTTTATGGGTTAACCTTCCAAAAATTAAAAATACCATATTGTAAGAGAAAAACATTAAAATGTGAATCTCACTGTACCTAAAATAGATATTCTGAAACAGCAATTTATATGCTAATTATAATTTTTAAAAGAATATTAAAAAAATTCACAGATTTTTGGTATTTGCCGTATCATCTGAAATAGAGAAGATTACGATTTATCATTATGTTCTACTTTCACCTACCTCCAGATTACTAAATTAATGGTTCATTCATTCAGTCTTTCCACCAGTCTTTACATTTATGGTACTATGTGTCAGGTACTCTGTACTAATTTAACTTTGCTTCGGAACTGAAATTCCCCATATCATTTATTTGGCAGGGGAGGCGTTTTACAAAATGAAACCTTACTCACATAGGTAAAGGCTGAACTCTTCTAATTATCGAAAGTGGGACACAGGTAACACTGATGTACTTCTGAAAAGCTCCTTGGGTTCTACAATAAGAAGTCTGACAACCTGAGCTATGACTAAGGTGTTAGCAAACTATAGCCCAAGGGAAATAAAAAAAAAACTAAATAAAGTTGTAAAGGACATAGTAACATTCAATCCTTTATGTAGTATATGCAGCAGAGTCCAGTAGTTGCCATAGAAGTCTTCTGGCTCACAAAGCCTATCTGGCCCTTTACAGAAAAAGTTCACCAAATTTTTCTCTATAACATGTAGTGTGACTTAGCATCTAAAAGAATTAATGTTCTAATTCTAGATTTATATAAAAGAAACTCAGTAATCAAAGAATAGTTTTTCCTATTTGTAACTATTTAATGACAAAAAGAATTTTTTAAAAGACAAATTAAAATAAAGCAGAAATACCTGGTGGGGGCAAGTAACCATGAAAAAGGACACTGCCACAAGATGAACGCTCCAATTCTTCACATAGGAGAAGCCTTCTTACTAAAAACATTTCAAAGCAAACTTGTCAAGAGTACATGCAAACAGAAAAACAGTACTCCATTTTTATTTTCTCTAGTTAAAGAGGATAAGGAAAGAAAAGGAAAATGTTTGAGTTAAATCAGAGTTAATAACCTCTTTTTAGTATGAATAGCCACAAAAACTAAGTGCTGAACTATTCTGTCAAAAATCAGGACCCAAATATAAAACAAATTTCATTTGGGCAAATTTAATGCACAAATAATAAACACAAAATACTCAAGAGACTACATACCTAATGGAGTGATTCCATAAAATTCTGCTTCATGCCTGAGAACATTAATACTTACTCCCCTATAAAGAAACAAATGAATGAAATAAATTCTTTAACATTGGTAACTTAGATTATACCTGAAGCAACAGGAGAAAGTACTGGGTTCTAAAAGTGAAAAAGCCATAAGGCTTTAAACTTACTTTTTTTCCTAATATTCTTTATTTTTAATATCCTTAATCATTTCAAAAAGTCTAAATAAAAAAACAACTTCATGTGAACCAAAACATTTTGTTACCTACTATAAAAAAAATATTCAATGAATTGAGTAAGTAAAAGAGTTAGGGCTGTACTCTAACGCAAATGACTTATCAAGACGTATCAGACACAAAAACAAGAGAGAAAGTTATTCCTTATGGAATTGCTTGTAGCTTTTTAACATGATTATTTCCACACATATTTTAACCTTCCTCATTATATTGTAAGCTCCATACAAGCAATCTACTTCAACTTCTGTATACCTTGTACTACACTTAGCACAGTGCTGGCATAAATAATTTGTTGAGTGAACAAAACAAAATAAAAATAGGAAAAACATTAGCTTTAGCAAAGACAGTGTCATCCAGATAAAGACTGTTACAACACAGTAATACAGTTAAGTAACAGGAAAACAAAAAGTAAAAAAAAAGAATATAAGCCTCAGAGCTTACAATAATGATGATTCATTTTAGGTTTCTATTATGTGTCCTTACTTTATAAATACCACCTGGCCTTAATAAATATAAAACGGTGATATTCAACTGTTTTTATTTGTGAAATTAATTATGACATAAGAATGATTTAAATTTTCTGATTCCATTTCAAAACTATCTGTGTTGACAGGTGGCTCAGGGCACAAATGATAGTTCTTCAAGACTTTCATTCTCCTTAGGACAGGCAAACAAATACAATAATTATAAAACAGCATGATATGGGCAAAGCAGATTTCAAGGAAGAGAATTAGAACATAATTATTTGAGGGTTGTTTGTTTTTAATCCCTTCCTTCCCATCTTCTTTTAGAGGGAACCATTGAGAATTTAAACTTGGTAAGGCTCTTTAACTGAAAAAAGATAGTAAGCTGTAAGAAAAGTTGCTGGTAAACATACACATTTAAATTAAATCTGCCTTTTATGGTTGATGTAACTACGTATTAGTCAGATAATCATTGACTAGAAGTGAACTTGGGACTTTCTCAATCCAAATGCTATGAGTGAAAATAATCTTTCTCAAGAAGTAGTAATATACTTCTTACATCCCACCAATCACAGACAAAAAAATAGATATAACAAGAAGGCCCTACAAACTTTTTTATTCATTTAATAAATATCTATTTTTATATATTACACATGCTACTTTAATGATGGGTATATGCCAAGAAATAAACTTAGACCAAAAAAGATCTCTGTCTTCAAGGAGTTTACCTTCTAGCGAATGAATATAAGCCAAAACCAAAACAATATTATAAAGAAGCAGCTAAAATGAACAACTAAATTTCTAAAAAAAAAAAAATTAAGGAATCCTTACTGAAAGCTTATTGGGAAAATATGAAAATAGTAAATGCAAATCATCACTCCCTGATAGGAAACTCAACTATAATTGAAGATGGCAATGTTAAAGATATAGTTCAAACAATCATTGATTTATCCACAAAGAAAATAATGTAATGAGCTCTTACCATGCTTCAATCACAGACTTAGGTCCTAGGAATATATAGCAAACTGTAGCTGCTCTTTTGGAATTTAAATCTAATAAAAGACAGACTAATAAAAATGAATGAAATATAACAAGTGCTATGACAATGACAGAATAGGAAACTATGAATACTTAAATTAGGTAGACACAGCAAAGATTATTAAAGTAGTCAGGTTTAGTCAAGACCAGGAAGAATACAAATTTTATAAGAGAAATTACGCTGGGGCCAGACTATAGACAAAGATCATCAAGCCCTGAATCCTAAGCCATCAGTCCAATATAACATCGAGAGTTTTAAGCAGAGTAGCAACCTGATCAGAAGATAATTTTGGCAGCAATGTGGAAAATATAATGGAGGGATACAAGGTAGGTAAACTGCTCAAGAAGTTTTTGGAAATACATTAAAGGAAGAGATGATGCTGGCCTGTATCTATGAAAGTTTAAGCCTGAGGAAATCTTTAATCAAAAATCGTCTTGGCAAGGCTAGGGTTGTGGCTCAGTGGTAGAGCATTTGCCTAGCACGTGTGAGGCACTGGGTTCAATTCTCAGCATCACATAAAAAATAAATAAAATAAAGGTATTGTGTTCATCTATAACTAATAAAAATATTTTTTAAAATAGACTTGGCAAATACTGTATATTCTCATTCAAAAAGTTGATCACACAGGAGGAGAGATAGAAAAGAGGTCTTTAGAGGAAAGGAGTGAATTGGGGAGGACCAGTAAGAAGGTAGGTAATAGATATCCAATATATAAAGATGGACTTAGGCCTTAGCCTAAGCAACTCCATTTTGAAACTCCATTTTGAAACCTGCAGTCTCACCAGGCACACCTATGGAGCCCTCCAATATGATCATCAGGCACAGCTTTTCTCCCCATCCTGACAAACTCAAGAGTAAAGTCTCTGTCATGCTGCCCTCACCCCGATAAGGAGGAAAGGCAAGAAAATCAGGGTGGGGACCACCAGACCAGATGCTTTAACCTCAAGGCAAATGACACCACCAAGAAATCCAATAGCACAATGGGGATTGAAAGGGTGGTCACAAGCCCCAAAATTTAGTATAAATGATGAAGCAAATGAACAGACAGCCAGCCAGCCAGCACTGATGCCCTCATGCCGGAGAGCCTGATGAGGACCTGGACTGATATCCCAATTATTCTCATCCTTTGCCTAATCCTCTGCATCTTCCTTACTGCTTTCAAACTCTACAGCCACATCTTGACCCTGGTGAGAACTGCAACTTCTCCCTATGACCCTCTCTTCAACGGGCTGTCAGCCCCACCCCAGGAGAAGCCTGCCTCAGTCCCTGACCTGAGCACCATGGTCTGAGTGAGTGTGCATCTGCTGGACTTAGAGCATAAGGCTTGAAACTTCAGATCTGGCACTTGAGCTTAGCATGCAGAGGGAATGTCATGAGCCTGTCATAATTAAGAGTGTTTGCAGTGTTTAGACTTAATCTAGAATTGTTTGCTGTGGATTGATTATGCTACTGTCATTTTCTTGATCAAGAATCTATAGATTGAAATTATATTGAGTGATGTGAGTCAATAAAGCATTGAAAGGGAAGAAGCACATAGACATTCTTATTTCTCCCCCTCTACTGCATAAGTCACACCTTTGCCCATCATGACAAAGACACAGAGGGAGCACGTAGTTCTAATGTTCTCTAGCATGACAGGGAAACTACAGTCTACAGAAATTAATCATATATTTCAAAATAGAATGGGTTAAAGGTCCCCAATACATAAAAATGATATGAGATAGAAATGCAAATTACCCTGATTTGATTATTACACATTGCATGTATCAAGCTATAGCCCTTAAATAAGTATAAATGTTATAGGTCAATTTAAAAAGTCAAAGGGATAAACAACATTTTCTTTATAAAATGTATCAAAAATAGTTATCAGCAAGAATTTACTTTAAAAAGGATGCATTTCTTACCTTAAGTCTAGTTCTTTTGTCCGAAGAAAATTTAAAATGGGTGCAAAAGCTGCTGGATCTCTATCAATAAATATCTATAAATGAAGAATTTTTATTTTCAAATTAAAAATACTGTATTTTCGTGATTTCATTCTTAATGTTTTAAAAATCAAAATGCTGTTCTAACTATGAATTTGTGGTAATTTCTTTTTTCTCTAAAAAACTATTAAATTGATGATATTTTAAAACGTAGGGAAAATATTAATTAACAAACCAGTTTTCTCATTTTTATTTATTGATATTTTGGGAAATAAAAAATTGTAGGTAATGGTAATCTGCAAATTCTTACCATTCTAATATCAAAATATTTGATATTTACATCTACTTACTTATTAAAGTTTTATTTATTAAAGAACTACTTCCTCTATTGCCTATGTAACCTCATATTCTACAATCTTTCTAATAATGAACATACAAATTGCTATATGGAGTATTTTCCTGTTTAGAAATACTCATGTATAAGACAAGAAATAAATAAAAACTAAGTCACTTTCATTTAGTGGTATTAAAAGATTAGCTTCCATAACTCTGAGTCACCAAATACTAAGGACCAAGCATATAAACAATAATTAATTAAATTTAGAAATATATATCAACATTATTTTACTCACAGCACCAGTTTCATCTCGAAGTGTTGAAATTCTTCCACTCAGTAAACTAGAAGCCATTAACAAGAAGCTAGAGTTAGTTTTTAAAATCTAAGTGTACACAAATGATCAAATTATCAAATTTCAAAGCCAATATAAACTCTTAATTTAAAAAGTTCTATTTTTAGAATAAACATTTTTTGTTTAAAAAATAACCTCTTAATTTAACTGACAAGGAAATTATTATTTTGGCAAATAATCAAACATACAGTAACAAGGAATTGTATAAATTACCTGGAAAAAAAAGAATCTGGAATCCACATTAGAGTTTGTCTTGAGGTACTAAATCTATAATCAAAAATTAACAGTTATGATAAGTGAGAAAATGATTTGAAATCTCAATATTAGTTAACTTACTTTAATGGGCTGGCTAATTATTTACATGCTGTTGCATAATTATAGCTACATCAATTATATTTATCACATATCATATTTTCAAATTGTACTACTTTCAATTCAGTTAATATTATTCAAGTTCTCAAAAAATTCAAACAATTTTCAACCATATAATGCTTCCTAGAACATTATTTTCCAGCATGTCAATGTGCCAAAGAATCAATTATGCTGTCGTGCCCAATTTCCATTTCTCAGCATAATATTTTCTTCAGATCCCATTTCATTTCTCCAAACTTTTTGTTTTCTTCCTCTAGTACTTCTTAAAATTCCTAAACAATTTATGTTCGCTATCATTTTAGCATCTTTATGTTGACAAGATCACGCCCTTTATGTCCAATAACCCAAATCCATCTTTTCTTGACACCACTGAGGTTACTGTCTCTGTAATGACTTCTGCAAATATTCTAACTTATATTACCTCTTTTTGAGATCATCATAATTTAAGTGTAAATTATGCATTCAACACTTACTTTGTTATTTATGTAATAATCATATGCTACTATGTGTAGACGATGCATTCATTCATTTAAAAAATTAGCAGAGGGTTAGGGTTGTGGCTCAGCCGTAGAGTGCGCTTGCCTCGTACTGTGAGATACTGGGTTCAATCCTCAGCACCACATAAAAATAAATAAATAAATAAAGATATTGTGTCCATCTACAACTTAAAAAAAAATTAGCAGAGATATCACTTTTTGAAATTAACTGTCATTTGATCAAGTCTGCTTATTACCATCAGTTTGTAAGAAGATCTTAACCAAAGTCTTGGACCATAAATCAAAAAGTATGTAAGCCAACATGACAAAGAAAGGAATACAGTGAGTATCCAGTCCAGTTTTTGTCTGAATATTTTCACTTTTAAGTCATCACAAGTTAGCTCACACAGAAGAGCACCTTGGAGACCTCTACTTTCACTCTACATTCACTTTCTGGAATTATATGAAATCTCTAAATTTATGTTTATCTTTCAGACTTAAACTAAATAAGGTGATTGGATAGTAGCACTGGTTGCCATATGATATCAACAGGCAACTCACCTAAATCAGCAACTTGGAATAACCAGATAAGTAGACACTATTTACTCTTTGCTCATCCTATCAAACCTTAGAATTCATTCCATTTCTCATTCCCCTTTTCCAAGTGGCATAGCAAACAGCAGTGGAATGAAGGTCAGATTGAAAACAGTAGCAATCACCAAGACTTATACAGAATCCACTCATCTCTAAATTTGGCAAGTCCACCTCCACCTGAGACAACAATGACTTGTATTTTATATCACTTGATGAATGGACACATTTATCTTTCAAACTTATCTTCAGAAATTCATTTAATATAGAATAGTATACATTTTTAATAAAGGGGGGGGTAGAGAACAACCTGTAACTCCATAAGGCTTGGCAAGCTAGCACATAATCAATAAATATTTGTTGAAATTTGAGTTGTGCTAACCAAAACCACACACTATATCCAGTTACATATTTTATACAAAACTGAGACAGTGATTCGGTTCTACAATCTGTGGGCCTTTTATGGTTGCAACAAAGCATTTCCAAAGTGTTGACAAACAGATGTCACTAAACTGCCCACTTGACAAAACATTTAGCACCATCAATCTTAGTGTCAGGAACAACAGACATAGTACATATACTGTTCAATAAAAAAAGCTTTATGCTCAACCTCAGTGATTTTCTATTATTATCAAAACATGCTTTTCAATCACAAAAAAATTATCTCCTCTTCCTCCCACCCACAAGCTTACACCTGTGTGGAAAAGGATTTTCTCACTGACTAAAGGAAACACAGTGACATAATTCATTAGTAAAATACTTTAGAGAACAGAGAGAGGTTAACTACCAACTATTTCAAGAGTGTTTTTAAGTAGTTACTATAACCATTAATCTGATTATTAATTATTTATTCAAGAATGCAACATGGCAAAGTATTTTTCTTCTTAGCAAACTCAAATGAAAAGTAGATTATCATTAGTTACAGGAAACTGATTCAGTCAACTAAATAAAAGCAAATCAGTCAATGGTAAACTGAAGGATCAAAGGATCCACAGTAAAAAAGATTCACTGTTTTGGAAGCCATCAAATTAATTCCAAATAAGGATAATTTTTAACTTCTGATCTTGCATATTCACTGCTTACTCAGCAAACTTTTCAAATAATTCAAATTTAAATGTGACTTAGGAAATTACACAAATCTGCTTAATTTTAATTAATTTTAAATTAATTTTAGTCAGTACTTTAGGATGAATTTAGTAGTCTGGAATTTTGGAAAGGGATTGGACCCTCACCACTACCAATTTTTTCCCCACAAGAGAAAATGAAAACATCAGCAAAAAACAACAAAACAAAAAAAAGCCCCCAAACAGGTTCCAAATATAAATTATAAAAACCAAAACATTTAAAATTACATATACTAAGCATATTTCTTGCAATATACATGAAAGCCTTTTCTGTTTTTTATTTCATAGTGTGCAAAGGAAAGGGTCGTGAGTAATCTGGTCTCAGCAAAAAGATGACTAAAGAGACTGGCAAATTCACAATTATACTCCTTTCTTCTTGCCTACTTCTAAATTAGCTTGAAAGAAATATAATTAAATTACTTTCTTCAACAGACTGTTGATGTCACTCATCTTCGCATTTCATATTTTTTAATATTTCTTTTTATTTTAATTTGTTATATATAACAGCAGAATGCATTACAATTCATATTACACATATAGAGCACAATTTTTCATATCTCTGGTTGAACACAAAGTAGAGTCACACCATTCCATACTTGTACACAGGGTAATAATGTCCATCTCATTCCACTGTCTCTTTTACCCCCATTACTCCCTCTCTTCCCCTCCCTCCCCTTTCCCCTTTGCCCAATCTAGAGTTCTTCTAACTTCCTATGCCCGCCTCCCAACCATGTTATAAATCCTTATTCTTAAATCAGAGAAAACATTTGGCATTTGGTTTTTTGGGATTGGCTAACTTCATTTAGCATTATATTCTCCAACTCCATCCATTTACCTGCAAATGCAAAATGGAATATTATTCAGCATTAAAAGTGAATAAAATTATGCATTTCATGTTTATTTTATTTATTTGTTTATTTTAATGTGGTACTGAAGATAGAACCCAGAGCCTCACGAATGCTAGGCAAGCACTTTGCAGCTGAGCTACAGCCCCAAACCAGCATTTCATGTTTATTACTTCAATTTCTATATCAATTCTATAAGATCGGTACCATTAATGTCATTTTTAATTTTAGAAAACTTAAAAAGTAATTTGCCCACAGTTTATAAATATAAAGCCTAAGAAATGATACCATGTACCTGATTCCCAGAGTGCCCACTGGCTGTCCTGGCCCTCATGAGACCTAAAATTATACTCATTCATAACAAAATTCATCACAAATTGAGTAATATTGGCTTTCTTTCATTTCACTATTATTTTCTGTAAATAGTAAACATTTACAATTCTAAATGAAACCTCATCTTCCTTAATTTCTGAATCACCCACGAGTTATAAAAATTGATCATTTCTATAATATCTCTGAGTATGTCTATTTTCACATCTCTCGTCTCAGGAAAGAGATCTTACCTATAGCAGGTGCTTCTCTGCTTCTAATAAACTCGCCTTTTAAGTTTTACTGTATAATTTCAGAGCTTCAGTTCTATGTCACAGGTGGTTCTCCAATGAACAATTGCTCAGGAATTTTCTAACAGTGACTTAAGTAATTTTGTGTTAATCTGTGTTTTGTACAAGTATAATGGCTTCTATCTCTCTTCTAACTCTGAAATGCTGCAATATGAATCAAAGCAGATCTAGCAAATATTCTTAGAACACTTGGTATCACACATTCTGTTTTCTGTAGTCCATATCATTACTTATTTTATGAAGCATTTTATCCTAACAATTCTTGTTTTAAATTTTTTACTTTTATTTTTCATTCCTACCTGACAACTTTAACTGTCTTCTAAATTGCTTAATCCAGTAATAACTTATTATCTCATCTTGTATTCCTAATTATCTATTAGAAA